CACCCCACCCCACCCCACCCCACGACGCAGGGCAACTCGCGTTCCAAGAGGGCGCGCTCGTGCAAGCCGTGAGACGAGGGTACTGGATCGTCCTCGACGAGCTCAACCTCGCGCCCTCGGACGTCCTCGAGGCTCTGAACCGCCTCCTCGATGACAACCGCGAGCTGTTCGTGCCGGAGCTGCAGGAGACGATCACGCCGCACCCGCACTTCATGCTGTTCGCGACGCAGAACCCGCCGGGGGCGACGTACGGCGGGAGAAAGGTTTTATCGAAAGCGTTTCGGAACCGTTTCATGGAGATTCACGTCGGCGACATCCCGGACGACGAGCTTCGGATCATCTTAAACAAACGATGCGAGATCGCGCCGTCGTACTGCACGAAGCTCGTCGAGGTCATGCGCGAGCTGCAGCGCCGGCGGCAAGCGTCCAGGGCGTTCGCGGGGAAGGACGGGTTCATCACCGCGCGCGATTTGTTCCGATGGGCGAACCGGAAGAGCAACGGGTACGAAGAGCTCGCGCGCGACGGTTTCAGAGTCCTGGGCGAACGCCTGCGATCGGACGAAGAGCGCGAAGCCCTCAAAGCGACGCTCGCGAAGGTGTTGAAAGTCCCGGTGATCACCGAGAGCACGCTGTACGCCTCCGCGGTCGAGAGCGCGCTCGTGGCGCGATTGGACGCCGCCGCCGCGTCCGCGGCGGCGAGAGCCGAGTCCGCGGCGAGGGACGCAACCACCGCGGCGGCCGCCGCGGAGGCGCGTCAGGCTGCGCAAGACGCCGACGACGCGTCCGCGCTGGCGAACGCGATGGCGTGGACGCCCGCGATGCGTCGGCTGTTTTCTCTCGTGGAGGCGTGCTTAACGCACAAGGAACCGGCGTTACTCGTCGGCGAGACGGGGTGCGGGAAGACGTCCGTGTGTCAGCTGCTCGCGCTCCTGCGCGGGCAAAAGCTCCGGATTTTGAACTGCCACCAACACACGGAGACGGGCGACTTCCTCGGCGGGTTCCGGCCGACGCGCCCGGGCGGCGGCGGCGCGGCGAGCGGCGGCGCGGCGGACGACGAAGAGGCGACGCCGACTTTGGACGACGACGAGAGCAACGCCAAGGCGCCGCCGTTCGCGTGGGAGGACGGCCCGCTGATCAAGGCGATGCGCGACGGCGACATCCTCCTCGTCGACGAGCTCTCGCTCGCGGAGGACTCCGTTCTCGAGCGCCTCAACTCCGTCCTCGAGCCCGGCAGGACGCTGACGTTGCCGGAGAAGGGCGGCAGCGAGGTGGAAGAACTCGTCGCGCACCCAAACTTTTTGTTGCTCGCGACGATGAACCCGGGGGGCGACTTTGGCAAGAAGGAGCTGTCCCCAGCGCTGCGGAATCGATTCACGGAGATCTGGGTCGGCGCCAGCGCGGACGTCGACGAGATGGCGCAAATCTGCGAGAGGCGCATCCCCGAACCCGCGCTCAAGCCGTACGCGAGGCACTTGGCGTCGTTCTGGGACTTTTACCGCGGCGTCGCCGGCCGCGGCGCCGCGAAAGCCGCGCTCGGCGTGCGAGATTTAGTCGCGTGGGCGTCCTTCATTCGCGCCGCCGCGACGGGCGCGTCCACCGCGCGCAGGCTGACGCCCTCCGAGGCGTTCGCGCACGGCGCGTATCTCACGCTGCTCGACGGGTTAGGTCTGGGGTTGGGGTTACCCGAGGAGACGGCGCGCGGGCTCGCGCGCGCGTGCCGGGACTTTCTGCTCGAGACGCTGCCGGCGGAGGTGAGGGCGCTTCCCTCTCTTCTTCCTTCTTTTCTTCCTTCTTTTCCCGCGTCCTCCGTTCCCTCCTCGCGCGGCGATGATGCTCTTCGTTGTAACCTGGTAAGTTTCAGATCTCCATGATCGAGAAAACTCTACAACCTGAGCCTCGCGAGGAACGGAAGCAGGAGGGCAAAGGAAAAGGAGACGCGCGCGACGCGACTCGGTCATCAACTCGCGATTTTTTTTTTCTCTCGAATCGAATCCTCACCGATCCTTCCCCCGGCGTCCGACCCTCTACCCCGGCGCACGCGGCGATCGACGCGGCGGCCAACCCCGGCGGCGACGCTGGCGCTTCATCCGGCGACGGCGTCTTCATCGACGCCAGCGGCGTCTTCGGCATCTCCCCGTTCACGATCCCGCGAGGTCTCGCCGCCTCCGCCTCGAGCGAGGCGTCGTTTGAACTCACCGCGCCGTCGACGCGACGCAACGCCGCGCGCGTCCTTCGCGCGATGCAGCTCACGAAACCAATCTTACTCGAGGGCTCCCCGGGCGTCGGCAAGACGTCGCTCATCGCCGCGCTCGCGAAAGCGTCCGGGCACGAGCTCGTGCGCGTCAACTTGAGCGAGCAGACGGACATGATGGACCTCCTCGGCGCGGACCTCCCCGCGGACGGCGGCGCCGCGGGGGAGTTTCGATGGGCGGACGGCGCCTTTCTCGCGGCGCTGAAAAACGGACACTGGGTCTTGTTAGACGAGCTCAACCTCGCGCCGCAGCCGGTGCTGGAAGGGCTGAACGCGGCGTTGGATCACCGCGCGGAGGTGTTCGTCCCCGAGCTCGGGGAGACGTTTAAGTGCCCGCCGACGTTTCGCGTCTTCGCCGCGCAAAACCCGGTCCAGGAGGGCGGGGGAAGGAAAGGGCTGCCAAAGTCGTTTTTGAACCGGTTTACGCGCGTGCACGTGGAGCCGATGGAGAGCTCGGATCTGGCGCACATCACGCGCGCGTTATATCCGACGATACCCGCGGAGGTCGTCGCCGGGATGGTGCGGTTCACGTCCGCGCTCGCGGAGGCGGCGGCGAAGCCCGGCGGGTCGTTCGCGCGCGCGGGCGCGCCTTGGGAGTTTAACCTTCGCGATCTCCTCCGATGGTGCGACCTCACGCTCTCCGCGATCGGCGACGCCGTCGACGACGGCGACGGCGACGGCGACGAAGAAGACGCGATCGCCGTCGCGCAGAGCGCGGTGGACGCGACGTTCGCGTCGCTGTTCTCGCAGCGGCTGCGCGCGGCGTCTGATCGCGTCGCGTGCGCGAAACTCTTCGCCGTCGCGTTCGGTCGACCGCCCGCGCCGTCGCCGCCGCCCGCGATCGCGTTGCGCGACGGGATCCTTCACGTCGGAAGGGCGTCGTTCCCGCGCGGGTGTGGCGGTAACGGTCTCGTTTCGAGCGTTACCGCGCCTCCGCTCGGTTTACTGAGAGGGCAGCTCGACGCGTTGGAAGCGTCCGCGCACTGTTCGAGACAAGGGTGGATGACGATCGTGTGCGGGCCGCCGTCGAGCGGGAAGACGTCCCTCGTGCAAACGCTGGCGTCGCTCTCTGGACGAACGCTCAGGCAAGTCGCGCTCACCGCGGCGACGGACACGTCCGAGCTCTTGGGTAGTTTCGAACAAAGAGAGCCGGCGAGGGACCGCGGGAAGCTCGAGGAGGACGTCGTCGCGGCGCTTCGCTCGGCGACCGCGGCGGCGTTGGTGCCACCGCGCGACGCATCGGACGTCGAGGAGACCCCGAAGACGACGAACGCTTCGAAGACGAAGAAGAAGAAACCGAAGAAACCAAAAACCGACGACGACGACGCCGCGGAGGTTGTCGAGGCGGCGTGGAGCGCGTGGGCGACGTACGCTTCGTTCGCCGCCGGCGCCGCGGCGGGAGCCTCCGCGGACGAAGCGGCCGCGGCGGCGTCGGCGCTTCACGCCGCGCTCGACGCGCTCGAAGCGCTGACGCGTCGCGCCGCCGCCGCCGACGACGACGACGCGATGGCGATCGACGGCGACGGCGACGGCGACGACGATGAAACGGCCGCCGTGTCGTCGTTTCGCCGACGCGCCGAACGTCTCGGCGCCGACGCGTGGGGCGGCGCCGCGCCCGCCGCCGGGCGCTTCGAATGGGTCGACGGCGTCCTCCTCAACGCCGCGACGCGGGGCGAATGGGTCCTCCTCGAGAACGCCAACCTGTGCTCGCCCACGGTGTTGGACCGCCTGAACCCGCTCCTGGAGCAGGGCGGCGCGCTGCTTGTGAGCGAGTGCGGGATGCGCGACGGGAAACCGAGGGTCGTGACCGCGCATCCAAACTTCCGGCTGTTCCTCGCGTTGGATCCGCGCCGCGGGGAGGTATCGCGAGCGATGCGGAACCGCGGCGTGGAGGTATATCTCGCGCCGCCGCCGCCGCCGGAGGCGTCGTCTTTGAACCCCGCCGCCGCCGCGGACGACGACGCGTCCGCGTCGTCGTCCGCATCCGCGGCGCTGCCGTCGCCGCTCGCGACGCCGCCCGCCGCGCGGACTGCGTCGTGCGATCTTCACGCGATCCTCGCAGCCGCGGGCGTCCCGGGCGGGCCCGCGCGCCTCGCGATGGCGCGCGCGCACGCAGTCCTCGTCGGGACCGGGACCCAACCCGGGACCCACCCCGGGCACACCGTGCGCGAAGCCGCGCGGTGGGCGGGTCTCACCGGGGAGTTGCTCTCTCGCGGCCACGACGCCGGGAGCGCGCTCGCGGCGGCGTGGGACCACGTCTACGCGCGCGGGGAGGCGTCCGAGGCGGCGCGCGACGCCGCCGCGGCCGCGTTCGACGTCGCGTGCGTGCCGTTCCTGGACGCCGTTCGCGGCGGCGGCGGGGGCGCGGGCGCCGGCGCGGTGGATGCCATGGACGTGGACGCCGACGCCGACGCCGACGACGCCGCCGCCGCTCTCAGAACGCGCGGCCACGAGACGTTCCTCGAACCCCTCGGGTGGCCGTCCTCGCCGTCGATCGCCCGCGCGCTCGCCGCCGCGGCCGGATGCGACGCCTCGCGCGTCGCGCGCGCGGGCGCACTCCTCGACGCCGCCGCCGCCGCGCTCGCCGCGCGGGCGCTCGCGACGTCCGGCGGCGCCGCCGCGTGGCGCGGCGCGTCGTCGCTGTCGGCGGCGGCGCTGCCGCTGCGCGCGCTTCGACGCCGCCTCGCGCTGGAGGAGGAGGAAGAGTACGTCACGGCCGACGCCGACGCCGACGCCGACGCCGACGCCGACGCCGCGCTCGTGCGTTGCCTTCGCGCCGCCGGAGAGACGCTCCTCACGGGCGTCGCCTTCGGCTCCGCCGCCGGCGCCTCCGCGGAGGACTTACGCGACCTCGCCGCGTGGCTCCGACGTCTGTCCGCGCGCCACGTGGCGTGCGTCGCGGTGACGCGCGAGCTGAGCGCGGTGGCGCGCGCCGCGGAAGCGCTGACGTCGCACCCGATCGCGTCTTCGGCGTCGTCGTCGTCGGCGGCGGCGGCGGCGGCGACGATGGACGTCCTGCGCGCGGCGGCGGCGCGACGCGCGACGCACAGCGCGCGCGTCGCGCTCGCCTCTGAATCAAATCTCGACGCCGGGACGATGCTTCGCTTCGCGGAGGACCGCGCGGCGGACCCGTCGCTGCGGCGAAGAGGCGCGCGCGCACACGCGCTCGTGGACGCGTTATCCGCGACGTTGCGCGCGGCGAGCGCGGTCGAGGACGCCGTCGTCGTCGCGTTGTCCCGCGTCGTAGCCGGCGCCGGCGCCGGGAAAACGTTCTCAGAGAAAAAAATCGAGACGTCGACGTCGACGTCGACGTCGGCGTCGGCGCGCGCGGCGCACCACGACGCCGCGATCGCCATCGCGCGCGCGCAGCGATGGCGCGCGCGTCTGTCGGACATCGCGTCCGAGACGCCCGCGTCGGAGCTGCGCGAGCGCGAGGACGGGACCCCGCCGGACGCGGGCGCGGTGGAACGCGTCGCGACGGCGTACGCGCAAACGCGGAAAGCCCTCGGCGTCGCCGCCGCGCGCGCCGCCGCGGCCGGCGCGGGGCACGTCTCCGCCGCCGACGACGCGACGACGCGAACTCAAACCCCCGCGCGCGCGTGGGAGGCGTGGCAGTTGGCGTCGAGGGCGATGGACGCCGCGCTCGGCGTGCCCTCCGGGGACCCGCCGCCACCGTTGCTCTGGCGCGGCGGCGGGCGTCCGACGATCCCGCGCACGGAGCGCCTGCGTCTCGCGGAGGAGCGCGTCCGCGCGCTGTGCGCCGCGCTTCGGCCGTCGAGGAGGGCGTCCGTCGAGGGCGACGCGTCGAGGGCGTCCGTCGGCAACGCCTCGGGCGCGGGTCTGCGACGCGCCGCGCTCGAGGGGTTGTGTTTCTTCGCGTGGACGCACGTCGAGGACGACGGAGACGGCGCGGCGACGCGCGCGCGGCAGAGCGCGGACGCGGCGGCGTTCTTGGAGCGCGAGGCGGAGAGCATTCCCGCGCAGCTCGCCATCGAGTGCGCCGCGATGGCGACGGCGGCGGGGGCGGCGAGACGACGCGCCGACGCGCTTCTTCCGGCGCCGCCGACGGAAGCCACCGCCGCCGCCGCCGACGACAACAACGCCGACGACGCGATGGCGATCGACGCGCCGCCGCGCGCGCCCCCCGCGCCGCCCGCGACGTACGACATCCCGGCCGCGAACCTCCTGCGATCCGCGGACGTCCTCGAGACGCCCGCGGGCGCGGGTGCGCACGGCGCTCGCGCGCCGCCGCCGCTGGGTTTCCCCGCGTGGTCGCGCGCGTGGGCCGCGTGCGCGCGCGCGCACGACGAGCTCCTCCCCTCGCTCGAGCACGTCTCCATCGCGTCGCAACACTGGCTCCTCGCCGCGGTGTCGCGGCGCGTCGCCGCGCTCGCGGCGCTTCGCGCGAGCGGCGGCGAGGGCAGCGAGGGCGGCGTCGGCGCGGCGAAGGACCTCGGCGGCGGCGGGTTGCCTCTCGGCGCCGACGTCGTGCGCGCGGCGGAGCGCGCGCTGTCGTTCGGCGTCGCCGCGTCGCCGCGCGACCCCGCGGACTTTCTCGCGCACCGCCACATCGCATGGCTCGGCGGGAGCGACACGGACGGCGGCGGCGGCAGTCTCGGCGGACGCGCGCGCCTCGACGCCGCGCTCCCGACGCTCGCGCACGCGATGTGGCTCTCGTGGCACGCCGCGGCGTGGGACGGGTGCCTCGACGCGCGCGTCCCCGGCCCGCGCGGGAGCTCGCGGCGCCGCGACGACGACGACGACGTCGTAGACGAAGGGTCGCACGCCGCGGTGTCGTGGCGCGACGGCGCCGGCCCCGCGCGGTGCGAGCGCGCGACGGCGACCGCGCTGGCGATCGCGCTCGTCGCCGCGCCGCGCGCGGGCGTCGCGGAGCGCGCGGTATCGCTGCTGCGCCTGCGGCTCGCGACGCGCGCGGCGAGGCACGCGCCGCCGTCGCGCGCGTCGCGCGTCGCCGCGGAGTGGAAAGCGCTCGGCTCGCTCGCCGCGACGACGTTCCTCGTGCACGCGCCCGCGGTGGAGACGCGCGATCGCGCCGCGCTCGCGGCGTCGTCGCTCGCGCTCGCGGACTGGTGCGCGTACGAAGACGACGACGACGACCGCGCGGAGGAGGCGGCGGCGGCGCTGCGCGCGTCGCTCGCGGCGGCGGCGGCGACGATCCAGCACGCGCCGCTTCGCGAGCTCGCGTCTGACGTCCTCGCGCCGCTCGTCGACGCGCTCGTGACGGGCGCGGCGCGCGCGGCGCGCGCGGCGTCCGAGACGGAGGAGGCGCAAAGTCTTCCCTTTGCGACCGCGGCGTCGACGGCGAGGGCGACGCGCGAAGCCGACGCCGACGGCGCGTCGCGCGGCGTCGCGTGGACGCTCCTCGGGCTCGCGCGCCTGCACGCGCTACTTCCCGACGGCACGCCCGACCCCGCGTCGTCCGTCGTCGCGCGCGTCGGCGCCCTCCGCGCGGAGCTGCGAGACGTCATCGAGCCGACGCGCGCGGCGTTGGCGTGGCAGCGTCGGACGCCGTCGGCGGCGCCGCCGCCGTCGCGCGTCGTCGACGCCGCCGACGCGGAGGCGGCGGCGACGGCGTCGGAGATGAGACGCCTCGCGTCGCGCGTCGTCCCGCGGCCGTCGCCGCCGGCGTGGGGCGCGCTTCTGCGCGAGGCGCGCGCGTTTCGCGGCGCGCTGGGGTCCGTCCCCCGCGTCGTCGCGCTCGTGAAGAGCCTGACGGCGACCGGCGGCGGCGTCGACGGCGGCGGCGGCGACGGCGGAAATCTCGACGAAAGTCTCCAGCGCGCGCGCGCGGAGGCCAAGGCGTGGATCGCCGCCGCGTCCACGTGGGGCGACCGTCTCGCGGCCGCCTTCCCCGGGTACAGAGACGCCGTCGAGCCCTTACAGCTCGCCGTGCTCGAAATCAGGCGGGGTCTCGCGCTGACGCTGGCGTGCGCGAAGGATCCGTCGCGCGACGCGAGGACGGCGGACGCGGCGCGCGGGAAGGTTGCGCCCGACGTCGCCTACGCGTCCGCGTCCGCGGCGGCGGCGCACCTGCTGTCGTTCCCGCCGCTGCGTCTGTCGTCGACGCGAGGTCTCAGCGCCGCGGCGTTGCTGTCGTCGCCGACGACGCAGCGCGCGATCGGCGCGGTGGAGACGGTGGCTGCCGCGCGCGACGCGCTCGCGAGACGCGGCGGATACGGCGGCGGTACAGCTGGCGACGACGCGTCGCGAACGTCGAGCGCGCACCTCGCCGCCGCCGCGCGAGGCTCCTCCGCGAAGCTTCGCGTCGCGTGCCTCCGCGTCGCGCTTCAAGCGGCGACGGACGAGGCGCACGACGCCGGCGCGCTCGGCCCGGCGTCGTGGCGTCGATGCGCGCGCGTCTTCGCGTCGCTCGCGTCGCTCTGGGCGCACGCGAGAGACGCCGACGCGGAGCGAGAGAAGGAGGCGCACGAGCTGTTCCGGAGCCGCGTCAAGCCGCCGACGGCGATAGAGACGCTGGAGGGGGACGACGACGCCACGGAAGAGAAGGCGTACGCGCGGACGTTCGGGGACCACGGATGGATGTTCGAAGACCTGCGGCGGGCGCCGGACGAGCCTTTGGCGTTGAACGACGACGACGGCGAGGAGGGAAAGCCGATGAAGGAGAAGAGACTCGCGAAGTCGAACGACGACGCCTCGGACGCCTCCGACGACGACGACGACGACGACGCGAAGACCGCGGAGGAGAAGGCTGAGATCGCCGCCGCGAGGATCGCCGGCCTCCTCGAGGGCGAGCTCCTCGAGGAAGTCGTCGCCGCGCACCGGAGGGTCCTCGGCGGATTACGCGGCGCGCCGTCGCCGCCGCCGCCGCCGCCGCCCGGCTCGAACCACGACCCCGCGTCGTCCGCGGCGGCGAAGAAGGACCCGACCGGGTGGTGGGCCGCCGCGGGCGCGCCGCCGCCGCCGCGGAGGTACGGCGAGGCGCTCCTCACGCCGTCGGAGGCGACGCGCGCGGACGCGTTCGCGAGAGCGTACGACGTCGGCGTGGACGTCGCGCGCGCCGTCGGCGTCGGCGCCATGCCCGACGCGGTGGACGCGGCGACGCGGACGGGGCACGTGCTCCGCCTCGCGCTGGACCACGCGGCGACGTCGCGCCCCGCGAGCAGCGCGGCGGAACCGTTCATCAACCGCGTCGGGAAGGTCTCGGGGACGCGCGTCAAGACGGAGGACGACGGCGGCGCGAACGCGAACGCGAACGCGAACCCGCTCGCGCTCGGCGTCGCGAACGAGCTCGCCGTGGACGCGTTCGACCCCGTCGCGGACGCCGCCGCGGACGCGCTCGGCGCGGACATGAACGACGGCGGGTGCGCCGGGGAGATGGCGCTCGTCGTGCCCCCCGTCGCGGCGTGCGCGCGGCGCGTCGCGTCGCTGCTCGCGGAGTGGCCAGACCACCCGCTGTTGACGCAGCTCGGGGAGATTTGCGACCGCGTGCTGAATCTGCCGCTGGACGCGCCGCTGAAGGCGGCGCTGACGGGTCTGGAGCTCTTACTCGCGCGCGCGCAGACGTGGGAGGAGGGCGCGGCGTCGCGCGTGAGCCTGAGGGAGGAGCTCGCGGCGTGCGCGAAGCTCGCGCTGCGGTGGCGTCAACGGGAGCTGCGGACGTGGCCGCGGTTGCTCGCACGCGCGGCGGAGAGGCAGGTCGCGCGCGCGCACCGGACGTGGTTCGCGCTGCACCGGCTGCTCCGGCCGCCGCGCGCTTCGTCTTCGTCGACGAAAAAATCCAAATCCAAATCCAAATCCGCGACGGACGACGCCGAGGCGTTCACCGACGACGGCGCGCCCGTCGACGCCTCGGGGCTGACCGAGGACGAGCGCGAGGGGCTGAGACAGATCACGCTCGCGCTCGACGAGTACGTTCAGGGCTCGACGATCGGCGAGTTCCGCGCGCGTCTGGACCTCTTGTGGCAGTTCCACGCGGACATGGCGGTGGACGCGCGCGCGGCGGCGGCGGCGGCGGCGGCGGCGGCGGCGGCTGCCGGCGGCGACGCCGCCCTCGGAGCCGACTCGGACGACGACGATGACGTGGACGACGGTTCGCGTCCCATGATCTCGACCGCCGCCGCCGGCGGCGCGCGCGAGCTCGCGCTCTCGAACGTGCTCTACAACACGTGGCGGTACTACGTCCAATTCGCGCCGACGGTGGCGAATCGCGTCGAAGCCGCGCGCGCGCCCGCGGCGCAAAAACTCCGCGACCACGCGAAGCTCGCGAAATGGGAAGACCGCGGCTACCACGCGATGAAAACCTCCGGCGAGGCGAACCAGCGGAGTCTGCACAAGTTTGTCCGCGCGTTCGACGCGTCGCTCAACGCGCTCGTGTTGCCCGTGTTGCAGGCTGCGAACGGCGGCGTCGGGCTCGGCGATTTGCCCGGCGAACGCGGCGCGGCGGAGCGCGCGGCGGCGGCGGCGGCGGCGGCGGCGGCGACGCGCGAGGCTCGAAACGTCGCGATTCTCGCGAAGAACAAGACCGCCGCGGACGCGCGCGAGAAGCACAAGGCGATGTCCGCGGGCGCGTACCAGGGCGAGACGCCGCTGGAGCGCGCGAAGCGCGAGGGCGTCGAAGAGGCTGACGCGGAGGCGTGGCGGCTGGACGTCGAGGAGCGATCCAAACGCGCCGTCGCCGACGCGGCGGCGGCGGCCAAGGCCAAGGCTGAGCGCGGCGCGGCGTCGCGGCGCGAGCGCCAGCGCGATACCGCGCGGCAGGGCTGGCTCGACGCGTCGCGGCGCGCGGCGGAGGACGCCGCGCGCGCGGCCGCGGTCACGGCCGCGACCGCGGACGACGCGACGAGGAGTCGCGACGACGACGACGACGACTACGACGACGCGTCATCGGAGGCGATGCTCGCGCCGCTTCGCCTGCGCGACGGCGCGCTGTATCAGTCGAAACTGGCCCTCCTCGTGAAGCGGTTGGGGTCCGTCCTCGGCGCGTCCCTCCCCGGGGCGCCGCCGTGCCCGAGCGCGGACGACCCGGAAGCGTCCGACGTCGCGGGGACGCACGCGGCCGCGGACGTGGACGCGTTCGCGTCCGCGATCGCCGCGCGAGCGACGGAGCTCCGCGACGATAAAAAGGCGAAAAAAGCAGCCAAGAAGAAGGCGCTCACGGACCTCCTCAAGGCGCTGCCGTCGTTCGGGATCTCCTCCGCGAGGAAAGCGGTCCCGGACGCGCAGCGCGCGCCGTCCGCGTGGTTCCGCGAGCCCCCGCTCCCACCGCCCGCGTGCTTGAGCGCGCTCGGCGAGGACGCGCGAGAGGCGTTTGACGCCGCGGATGGCTATTACTTTCGCGCGATGGCGCGCGTGCAGAGGCTCAGGGTCGCGCGGACGACCGCGCACGGCGACGTCTCCTCGCGCGAGATGGACGTCGCGTGCGGCGCGGTCGAGCACCTGCTCTTCTTGCTTCGGAAGCAGCGGCGGCTCGTCGGGCGCGCGGCGAAGGCGGAGGCGGCGCTCGACGCCGCCGCGCGCGCGATGGAGGGCTTACGCGCGGCGAACGCCGCGCCGAAAGAAGAAGAAGAGGACAAAAGCGGTGGCGGCGCGCTCGCGCTCGCGCGTCCGCCGCCGCCGCAGAGAGCGACGCGCGCGTGGCTCGTGCGGCAGCGCGCGCTCCTGGACCGCGTCGTCGCCGCCGCGGACGCCGCGCGGCTCGTGCACAAAGCCGTCGCCGCCGCGGAGAGCACGCCGGGGTTGCGCCCGGGCGGGGCGGCGGACGTCGCCGCCGCCGCGCTCGTCGCGACGGCGACTGCGGCGGCGGCGGCGCGCGCGCGCCTCGAGCCGTTCCTCACGCCGTCGCTGGAGGAGGCGCGGCGCGCGGTGGAGGACGGGGACGGGGACGGGGACGGGGACGGGGACGACGGCGGCGCGTGGCGCGCGCCGACGCTTGTCGCGCACGCGGCGAGGGACGCGCTCGCCGAAAACTTCCGCGGCGTCGTCGCCGCGCGCGACGCCGTGGACGCGGCGGCGACGGCGGCGATGAAAATCGCCGACGCGGCGCCGGCGGCGACGTGCGGCTACGCGTCGCCGCTGCCTGGATGGGAGACGCTGATCGCGCTGCTTCGCGCGGCTGCCGCGGACGCGGACGCGTTCGAGCGCGGCGCCGCGCCGGAGCCCATGGTATCGGCGCGCGAAGGAAAAGTTCAACTTCGCGACGCCGCCGCCGTCGCGAAGGCTGTCGACGCGAAGATCGCCGCCGCCGCGGAGGCGCGCGAGCGCGTCGCCGCCGCCGCCGCGACGTTCTCCGAACACGCGGAGGCTGCGACGGCGGCGGCGCTCGTGTGGGCGCAGCGCGTGAAAGCCGCGGGGGACGGACCGGTGAAGCCGCCGCGCGACGACGACGACGACGACGACGACGACGACGACGACGTCCCCGTCATGACCGGCGGCGAGGAGGCGTTAGCCGGCGCGCTGAACACCGCGCGGCTGCGTAAAGTGACCTCGCACGCCACCGCGGCGGCGGCCGCGCTCGCGGAGATGACGGACGCCGCCGCCGCCGCCGCGCCGGCGGACGCGCAGGCGGCGTCGCGCGTCGTCGCCGCCGCCGCCGCGCGCGCCGCGGAGCTCGGCCCCATGCTCGCGCTGCTCAGAGAAGCGGCGAGGAGGGGCGTGCGCGAGTACCTGTCGTTTCACCGCGCAAGCGCGAAGCTCGAGGCGGTGCTGTCGTCCCTGATCGTCGGCGTGTGCGTCGAGGGGTTCTGCGCGCCGCCGGAGGAGGAGGGCGGCGAGGGCGAGAGCGGCGAGGACGGGAAGATGATGGACGACGTTGCCGGCACCGGCATGGGCGCTGGCGAGGGGAAGAAGGACGTCAGCGATGAGATTCAGGACGAGGAGCAAATCTTGGGCGCGGAGGACGAGGAGAAGGGCGACGGCGACGACGAGAAGGGCCCGAAGGACGACAGCAAGGGGATCGAGATGCAGAATGATTTCGAGGCGGACGCGAAGGAGCTGTCCGAGGATGACGACGACGGCGGCGACGACGACGACGACGGCGACGAGAACAGCGATGACGAAGAAAACGTCGGGGACGACATCGATAAGGAGATGGGCGACGGCGACGATGACGACAACGCGGAGGTCATCGACGAGAAGATGTGGGACGAGGAGGACGACGACGAGAAGGACAACGAGAAGGACGGGAAGGAACAGGAGGGCAAGGAAAAGTACGAGAAGGGGTCCACGATGGAGAGGGATCCGAACCAAGAGACGGAGACGCGCGCCGCGGACGAGGACGAGGACGACGCGGCCGATGAGGACGATAAGGACGATAAGAAGGACAAGAAGGACGCCGCGAAGAGAGAGGAAGACGGCGGCGGCGACGACGAGAACGACGGCGCCGAGGACGACGACGAGGACGACGGCGGGAAACGAGACGACGACCCCAAGGATGAAAACGACGGCGTCAACCAAGAGGAGATCGAGGAAGACCACGGGATCAAACCGAAGGGACCGGAGAACGACGACGACGACGGCGACGGCGACGGCGAAGGAGGGAGCGATTTAGAGCTCCCCGACGACATCAATCTCGACGAGAACGGCCTCGGCGACGAGCTCGACGACGAGAACGGCGACGACGGCGACGGCGACGGCGACGACGGGAACAAGATCGACGGCTTCGACGAGGACGAAGAAGGGAACGAAGCCGGCGATGAAGGTGCCCAGGGCGACGGCCTCGAAGACGCGATGATGGACGAAGACGAGAACGACCAACGCGGCGGCGACCTCGAAGACGTCATGGACGCGGACGGCGAGGACGAAGAGGAAGAGAAGGGCGGCGACGGCGACGACGATGAAAACGCCGGCGGCGCCGGCGACGACGTCGGGAACGACGACGAAGCCGACGCGGAGGCGGGACCGACCGGCGCCGGCGCCGGCGGCGGGAATGACGACGCCGACGACGACGACGACGCCGCGCCGAAACCGGGCGAGGGCGAGGACGGCGGCGACGCCGGCGCGGGCGCGGAGGGCGACGGCGAGAACGAAACCGCCCCGGCGGACGAAGCGAAAGAGAACGACGCCGCGCCGGCGGCGGCGGCGCGCGCCGTCGCGGACGCGGGCGGCGCGGACGACGGGCGCGAGCCCCCCGGGGCGAACGCGACCGATGCGCCCGGCGGCGGTGACGGCGGCGGCGGCGGCGCGTCCGCGTCCGCCGCGGGAGACGGCGCGATCGCGCCGCTCGCGGCGGGCGCGGAGCAGCCGACCGGCGGCGCCGCGGCGCCGCCGCCGCCGTCGTCGTCGCGGAAGGGCGGCGAGGAGACGAACCCGCACCGAAGCCTCGGCGACGCGTTGAAAGGATGGCGAGAACGTCTCAGCGTCGTCGGCGAGAGCGTGGACCGGCCGGACGCGCGGACCGGCGAGCTGTTCGACGACGCGACCGCGCAGATCGCGAACGAGTACGAGTTTGAAACGAACGCGCCCGACGCCGGCGGCGGCGGCGGCGGTGACGGCGCCGACGAAGGCGCCGGCGACGGCGGCGACGGCGGCGTCCAAGCGCTCGCGGGCGCGACGGAGGAGCAAGCCGCCGCCGCCGCCGCGGGCGGTCTCGACCGCGGCGCGAACCCGTCCAACCCGGCGGGCGTCGACGAGATGGAGATGGAGCCGCTGCCGGACCTCCCGACGGAGGAGAAGCCCGACGCCGGCGGCGCCCAGACGACGGACGTCAAGGAAGAAGAACGTCCCGCGGACGGCGTCGACGGCGGGCTGGGCGTCGACGGCGACGACGACGCGGCGGGCGCGGGCGCGGGCGACGCGGAGAACGACGACGACGACGAGGGCCCGGACCCGAACGCGGGGAAGAAGGACCGCGGCGTCGCGAAGCAGCGCAAGGAGGGCGCGAAGACGGATGAGGAAAAGCCGCCCAAGCCCAAGAAGAAGAAAGCCGCCGGCGCGGGCGGCGGCGGCGGCGCCGCCGGCGACGACGACGACGACGACGACGACGGGACCGGCGGCGGCGCGGACGACGACGATGACCTCGTCCCCGGCGGTCGCGCCGACCTCGGCGAGGAGACCAGGGTGACGCTGAAGATGCTCGAGGACGCGTCGCTGGACGACGGCGAAGGCCTCGACCGCGGCGGCGGCGCCGACGTCGAGACGGAGGACCCCCTCGAGCTCCTCACGCCGGAGGAGGTCGAAGCCGCGCGGACGGCGGCGGCGGCGGCGCTAAACGCGCACCGCGAGCTCGCGGCGAGCGGCGCGGGGCAGTCAGTCCGCGCGCAAGACCTCTGGCGGAAACTCGAGACGCTCACCGGGACGCTGTCGGGGGAACTCGCGGAACAGCTGCGGCTCATCTTGGAGCCGACGCTCGCGTCGCGTCTTCAGGGGGATTTCCGCACGGGGAAGCGTCTGAACATGCGGAAGATCATTCCGTACATCGCGTCGGATTTCCGTAAAGATAAGATCTGGCTCCGGCGCTCGAAGCCGTCGCAGCGGAAGTACCAGGTCGTCCTCGCGATCGACGACTCGAGGTCCATGGCGGAGAACAAGTGCGGGCATCTCGCGCTCGAAGCTATGGTTTTACTCGCGCGCGCGATGGCGCGTCTGGAGGTTGGCGAGATCGGCGTCGTCGGGTTCGGCGGCGGCTGCGGCGGCGGCGGCGGTGGCGGTGGCGACGACGACGCGGTCGGCCTCTCCCCCGAGAACGCCGCCGCGGCCGCGGTGCGCACGCTCCATCCGCTCGGCGCGCCGTTCACGGACGCCGGCGGCCCCGCGCTCGTGTCGCAGTTTACCTTCGCGGAGGATAACACGCTCGCGGACAAGCCCGTCGTCGGGTTACTGCGCGCGCTGGACGCGTCGCTCGCGGCGGCGCGAGAGAACCTGCGCGGGGGGCACGAGACGCTGCAGCAGCTGTGCATCATCATCGCGGACGGGAGGTTCCACGAGAAGGAGGCGTTGCGGCGGCAGATGCGAGAGATGTCGGCGCGGCGCGGCCTCCTCGTCGCGTTTATCGTTTTGGATAACCCGCAGAGTTCCGTGCTGGACATGCAGTCGGTGTCGTTCGCGTCCGGGAAGCCGACGTTCACGAAGTACCTCGACACGTTCCCGTTCCCGTTCTACACGCTCGTGCAGGACATCGGGCGGCTCCCGAGCGTGATCTCGGACCTGTTGCGGCAGTGGATGGAGATCGCGGCGGCGTGATCGTGACATAACATACTGTAGTTTCAGAAGATAGACACGCAGAGCGCGGCGACGCTTTGCATCGTAGACACGTTTAATGCTCACACGAGAGAATCTAGCTAGTCACCGGCAGACCGGGATGATCACGTTTGCGAAGGAAATGCGATCTAACTAGTCGCGGCGGGCGGTACGCGTCGAGCGCTTTTGACTTTGCGCGGTCCTCCGCGCGCGGTGGCACTTCGGGCATCCCGTGGGTCTGTCGCTATTCGTGCGGTGGCTCACCGTCGCCCGCCACTCGTGGTCGCACGCCGCGCACTTCCACAGCGCCTTGTGCGTCGATCCATACGACAGCTCCGTTGGCTTCACGTCCGGATCGGCGTACTCTCGCGACAGTCTCTCGCCTCGCCAGCCGTTCTCCTCGCACCACTCGAGGAAGAAGTGCGTCTCGCTCTGCGGCAGTCGTTTCGAGCACGCCGGGCAGCCGCCGAGTCTGTTCCTCCTCGTGCGGTTGCTCATCATCGTCCGCCACTCGTGGCCGCACGCCGCGCACTTCCACAGCGCCTTGTAATTCGACGCCCGCATCACCTCCGTCGGCTTTCTGTCCGGGTCGACGTACTCCTTCAGGAGTTTCTTCCCTCGCTCGCCCTTCTTCTCGCACCACACGAGGAAGTTTTTGGCTGGAGTGGAGGTGGGACCACCGCCCCAGGTTGGGCGGCACTCCGGACATCCGGTGGGTCTGCCGCTCCGCGTGCGGTCGCTCACCCTCGTCCGCCACTCGTGGCCGCACGCCGCGCACTTCCACAGCGCCTTGTAATTCGACGCCCGCGTCACCTCCGTCGGTCCCTTGTCCGGGTCGACGTACTCCTTCAGGAGTCCTCGCTTAAAGTTCTCCTCGCACCACGTGCCGAGGTTGTAGGTCGGGGTAGCGTGCTTTCCGCGGCCGTGCGGCGGCGGGCACGGCGCCGACGCGCGTCGAACCCTCGCGAGTCTGCTCCCCATGCCGCCCGTCAGCGCCGGCGTCGCGTGCGGCCGCCATGGCGACGACGCGAGCGCGACGCGCGCCATCGCGCGCGCGCGGAAGTGAAGAAGGCGCTGAGATAAACCGCCTCGGGTCGGCCGAAGTTCGGCCCTTCTTTTCCTGGGCGATGACTCAGCGATCATCGATTCTCCGCCAGGCGAGCTCCAGTCAGTCGGATACGCTCCTCGCCGTCCACAACCAAAGACGCGCCGACAGCACGGTACACGTTCACGATGGGAGGAGGCAACGCGCAAAAGTCCGCCAAGGCGAGGCAGATGAAGCAGGAGAAGATGAAGACCGCGTCGAAGGGTGCGCGTCCTCCCCCGCGCGCCGCGCCGGAGATCTTCCCTCGCTCTCCCGCGCGACCGCCGCCATTAATTAATTCTCCACGTTCCGATCCCTCCGCCGACTCGAGCGCGACTCACCACCCTTCCATCCCGAACGCCACAGGGAGCCAGCTCGCGGACAACGCGAAGGCGATGAACATCCAGTGCAAGGTGTGCCTCCAGACGTTCGTCTCCACGACCGCGTCGGTGAAGCTCAAGGAGCACGCGGACAACAAGCATCCGAAGAATCCCTACGAGCAGTGCTTCCCGAACAACCCGCTGTGATGAGGTTGAACGCGCGGGGCGAGGGCGCGGCGGCGGGCGGGGCGCGCGGTGTCGGAGCGACGAGCGAGGGAATTGGACGGCGGCGGCGCGCGCGCGAGCGTGACACTGACACGCGCGTCAACATCACGTCGCGGCGCGGGCGTCGCCGCCGTCGGCCGAGAGTCGGAGCGATTCTCGCATTCTGTGATAAAATAAAATCAATCGAAATCCTATTCCATTCCATCACTCCTCGAGCGGCTCCCCCGCGCCCTTCAGGTCCTCGTACCGCCCGTTGCTCAGGTTATACTCCAGCTTCGGGTCTCCGATGCTCCCGGCCACCTTGTTCCTCACCTTGGCGACCATCACGGTGACCTCGCGCAAGCTCCCGAGCTTTTCGTCGCGGTTGCGATGCACGACGATCCCGTTGTCGCACTTGTTGATGAAGTGCGCGGACCCGGAGATGTCGTACAGCCCCGGCGCCTCCCCGCGCCAGTTGTGCAGCTGCCGCGGGTGCGCGACGAACCACACGTGCACGTCGTAGTGCTGCGCGAACTTCTTAATCCTCGTCAGCATCTGACTCACGTACTCCGTCTCCGTCTGCCCTTGCGGCCGCTTGTGATCCAACTCGTTGTACGGGTCGATGAGCAGCCCTCGGATGCCGTGGCGCATGACCGCCGCGCGCGCGAGCCCTAAGATCCAGTCCACGCTCGGGAGCTCATCGTCCTCGTGACGTATCAACACGAACTGGTTATCGAGCCAGTGCAGCCCCGCGCGCATCGTCTCGGGACGCATCCGCGCCTTGTTCGTGTACTTGCCCTCGAACCACGGCTCTCCGGTGTACTTCTCCACGAGCTTCCTCGCGTGCTGAGGGTAATTGTCCATACGAGCGAACGTCGGGGTGGAGTTGAAAGGCGTCAGAAGCGGAGTTGAAAGGCGTCGAGGTGTGTCGGGATTGAAAGCGAGGGACCCTGGACGGAGAGATGCGCCGGGAAAAGTCCTTAAGGATCGGCGTTCACCACGCGGACGGGGTCGTATGGGGACCAGCGTGAGATAGAACGCGCCTCGTGGACTTTGTTCTCCATCGAGCACAGCGCGAACGTCCAGCCGTGCTGCACCGCGAGGTTGCACATCAGCGCGTCCACCCACTCGGACTTCCCGCTGTTCGGCACGCCCGTGACCACCGTGAGCTCTCCCGGGACGACGCGGTAGTGCTGATCCACGGACTTCCATCCGCTCGACACGCCCTTCATCTCGGAGCCTTCGTCGACGCCGAAGTAGCTCGAGATGTCGTCGTCGAAGTCGCTGAAGCGGAAGAGACCGCGGAGCGGGAACCCCTCCGCGTTGTCGATGCACCCGCGAAGCGCCGCCTCGCCGTGTTCGCGCAGGGTGTCGTTCGCGTCCTTGCATCCCTCGGGAAACGCGACGCGGTAACACCTTTCCTTTCCGAGCCGTCGCGCCAGCTGCGTGGGTGAAGCGATCGGTCAGTCGAACGTCTTACCGGTCAAGCGTTGAAAGGGAAGCGCGGGTGAAGAGTGACGACGGGAAAAGTCCTTAAGGAACGGCGTGCACCACGCGAACGGGGTCGTATGGAAAGCAGTCTCACCTCCTCCGCGAGCGCTATCCCCGGCGCGTCGTCGTCCACCGCGAGGACGATCCTCGACACCGGGTCCAGCGCCGCCCTACAGTTCCACAGGTACTCGAACTTCCTATCCTCCTCCGGCGCGGGGAGGTCGCCTTCCCGTACCTTCCCGGGCGCGCCGTCCGGCACGCTCACGACGTTTTTGATCCCAGCCTGCTCCAACGCGAGCTTATCCATCTCGCCCTCGACGATGATCATCTCGCGCTGCCCGACGACGTCGTCAAGCCCGAACATGATCTTCTCCGCGCCCTTGACCTGCCAGAACGTCTTATCCGGGCCGCGGTACTTGATGTTCACGAGTTCGCCGTCGCGCATGTAAGGGAACACCAACGCGTCGACGACTTCGCCCGCCGCGGGGGAGAAGACGCGTTGCGCCGCGAGGCCGTTGCGCTCCGCGACGTCGAGCGAGATGCCGCGCTCCGCGAGAAACTCGCCCCACTCCGCCGCCGCGTCCGTGAGGTTCCCCCCCGGGCCGATGCGCTCGAACTGGTCCGGGGAGGGGAGCTTCGGCGCGCCGCCGGCGCCGGAGCCCGGCCGGCGATTCATCCCGGTGCCGACGAACGCGGCGGCGTTGGTGAGGCCCCCGCCCCCCGCGCCGCCCGCGCCGTCGAACCCTTTATTACGGTCCGAGTTATCCCGCCGCGGCCTCGACATGGTGTCGTCCATGGACGTCCCGCCCGTCCACTCGCACGTCGCGCGGTGGCACATCCACGCCGCGGAGTGGCCGTCGTCTTCGATGCGCACGGCGAGCGACCGCTCGCCGCCGCTGCCGCCGCCGCACATCGGGCACGCGGTGCGGTGCTGCCCGGGGGTGTACGACTGCATGACGATGCCCTTGCCGAGGAGGACGTCGCGCAGGCTGATCGGGCTGCGGTCCGGGACGGGCGTCGCGCGAGGGAGAGGGGGGGATGGGGCGGATGAGGCGGGCGGCGGCGGCGGCGGCGGCGGCGGCGGCGGCGGCGCGGCTTTTTGCCTCGGCTGTCGCCGCGGCTTGGGCGGCTGCTGCTGCTGCTGCTGTCGCGGCGGCGGCGAAGGCCGCGGCTGCTTGATCTGCTGCTGCTGCTGCTGCTGCTGCTGCCTGGATACCTGCTGCTGCTGCTGCTGCTGGATCTGCTGCTGCTGCTGCCACGGGTTCAACGGCGGCGCGGCGGCCCGCGGCGCGCCCCCCGTCCCCGCGGTTTGAAACTCATTTTGCGTCGCGCCTCGCGCGGCCGACGCGCGCGGCTCGGCGTCGTTCGCGGCCGCGGGCGCGTCCGCGCGCTCGCCGAGCCACTGCACCCGCGGCGGAACGTTGCCCCCGCCCTCGCCGGCGCTCTCGCCGCCGGCGTGCTCTCGCGACGCGGACGCGATCGTCGCGTCGCCTCGCGCGGAGGAGGAGTGGACGCCGCCGGAGTGTCGAGACCACGACGAGGACGATCCGGGCGCGCGCGCGAGACGATGCCCCCACGTCGCGGCGCAGGTCGCGGCGTCGACGCGCGCCGCCGCCGCCGCGCGCGCGAGCCCTCTCCCCGCGCGTCGCGCTGCGAACATCCCGCTCGACGTCTTCTTCCGCGCGGAAGAGCCTCCGAAGGGCGCGGCGGCGACGGAGGCGCGCGATCCGAGACCGCCGCTCTCGCGCGCGATCGCCCTGGTGACGACGACGACGCGAGAGGCGGGCGCGACCGCCGATCCGATCGCGCGCGAGGTCGTGTGAACCGCCGTCGACGTGACCGCTGCGCTCGCGTGAGACATCAATCAGCGCGCATGCGCGGGCTCGATCGCGACGGTCGGGTCGGCGAGGACGCGACGTGCGCGGCGCGTGTGCGTCGTCGGGCGGCGCCGGCGCCCGCTTTCTTTTCGCGCCCTTTTCGAACCGTCGATAACAACGCGAAAAATCGTCTCAGCTTGTCCGTCCGACCGCGCCGCGACGTCATCACACCGCGCCCGCGCGCGATGCCGACGCCGGCGTCGACGACGGCGATCCCCGCGCGCGTCGCGCGCGCGCTGCCGCGCGCGTCCCGCCGCGCGGCGTCGCGAGGAACCCGCGGCGCGCGACTCCCGACGCGCGCGGGGTCTGCCGCGGGCGACGACGGCCGGATCGATGGAAACATCGCCTCAGACCCCGCCGCCTCAGACGCCTCCCCCGACGTCGCTCGTCGCCGCGGCCGGCGATCGGTCCTCGCGTCCGCGATCGCGGTCGCGACGACGACGACGGGCGGCGCGAACGTCGCGAACGGCGGCGCGGACGGCGGCGCGGCGTTCGCCCTCCGATCGACGCTCATCCGTCCCGGCGCCGCCGCCGCCGCCGCCGCGACGGTCGACGCGCCCGCGCTCGCGCCGTTCGTCGGCAAGGCTGGGTTCCTTCTCCGGTACCCGAACGGCTGGGTGAAAGCGACGGACCGTCCCGGGAACGACGACGCGAAGGGCGGCGAGACGCTCGCGCTGCTCGGCAACTTCAAAGACATCGACACCGTGTCCGTGAGAAGGGAGCCGCTGTCGTTGCACGCGGACTTCGTCGAAGCCGCAGCGGGGTGGGACGCGACCGTGATCGGCGGCGGATACGACCGTCACGACGACGTCGTCGCCAGGAAGGTGGCGGAGAGTTTGACGCGCGCCGAGCGCGCCGCCGTGGACGCGAACCAAAACTTTGGCGTCGTCGGCGGCGTGGAGAACGGCAAGTCCGGCGTCATGGACTTCGCGTTCGTCGGGCCCTCGTCCTGCGCGGTCGCGTCCGGCGCCGAACCCGGCTCGACGCAGCCGTACTTTTCGTACGACTACGTCACGGAAGTGTGCCGCGCGGAGGTGGAGGAGGGCCTCGGCGGGGAGAAGATGTGCGTCGGCCCGCGCGGGGACGTCTTGGACACGATTCGAAGGCGGAATTTCGTCGTCGCGACCGACAGCGGCGGGTGGCTGTATCTCGTGAAGGCGTCCGCGCTGGAGACGAGGTGGGAGGACGTGGGGGGGATGTTGATGGACGTCGCACGGAGTTTCCGGGTCCCGCAGGAGGAGTGATGAGCGACGTATGTAGCCCTATTATTAGTACAGTTGCGACCTCTGGGACGGAACGGCACGGCTACAAGCTTATACTCGCGCGCGTCGACGAAATCTGATTTTCACTTCGCGCGCGCGCGCTTCGGCTTCCGCGCGAGCGCCGACTCGGCGCGCTGTGCCTCGGTTTCCACGCTAGGACCGCCTCGGAGCGCCCGATGCGACTGGGAACGCTCGAAACGACAGATACACCACGCTCCGCGAACGAAACGAGTGGACTCGTGCGCGTCCGCGGCGGCGTCAGTCGACGCGCGCGCGCGAAGCCGCCGCGGTCATGGGCGTCTTCTCGTGCCTCGCGCCGCCGCCGCGCGCCGCCTCCGTCCCTCCCTCGCGCAAGCGCATTCCGCCCGCGGCCGACGCGACGACGACGACCGCGGCGGCCGCGCCCGCGAGCGAGCTCAGCGAGGCTGGCTCCGGCGACCGCTCGCCCTCCCCCTCGAGCTCCTTCGTCTCTCGGACGCGCTCGCTCTCCGACGTCACCGCGCACGCGATCGAAGAGGAGCGCGCGCGACGCCAATCCCGCGCCGTCTCGGACCGCGACCTGCCCCCGCCGGTGTGGGACGCGCTCTCGGACTCGCTCCTGGAGGCGTCCGCGCGTCGTCTCCGCGCGCGCGACCCTCCGCCCGAGGAGAAGCGCATGTGGGAGACGTATCACGCGCTCAAGGCGCTCGCGCCGATACCCGCGTTCGGCGGCGGCGGCGGCGGGGAAGAAGAGTCGGGTACTAATAATAACGCGCACTCGTCGGGCGTTACAAATAACAACAACAGCACGGAGAGGAGAGTCCCGACGACGCCGACGACGCTCGCGAAGCTCGCGGAGGACGGCCTGATGCGCGGCGACGACGACTGGGCCCGACGCGAGGACGTCCGAGCGCTCCTCGCGGATGACGTCGTCTATCACACCGCCGACGGACTCACGCTCGAGGGCGTCGAGCGCGTGATCGATAAGATGTGCGATCAGACCGCGAGGCTCGCGAAGCGCATGAAGCGGAGCCGGAGGCAGCGCGCGGAGGGGAAGGAAGGCGGCGGCGGGGCGGCGGCGGCGGCGTCGATGAAGCAGGCGAAGGTGAGCAGTATGGTTTTTTTTTTGGTTTTGGTTTTGGTTTTTTTTTGTTTTTTTTTCGGAGCGCTCACACTCGCGTCCGCGACCCCCCCCCGCAGATAAAGACGTCTGGACCCACGTACGCGGGCAACGGCGTGTGGGTGATGTCGTACGAGTTCTCCATGATGCTCATGAAGGTGCGCATACGCGAGGAGTTCATCTTGGAGGAAGGGACCGAGCGCGTCAAGGACCTCAGGAGAGTGCGCGTGTGACGATAGCACCGGTGAAACAGTTAACAGTCGCGGTCGGTCACCTCGTCCCACCTGGTCCCACCTCTAACCTCGCGTCCCTCGGAACCGCGCCGCGCCACGCCGCGTCAAACGCTCGTCAACCATCGTCGCGCGCGTCCACAACGACTCGCGCTTCGGCCGCGCGGTGGCGCGCGAAGGCGAGACCCCCCCCCCCCGCGCGCGCGTCGTCGCGTCCTCGTCGTCCTCGTCTCGTCTTCATTCGCGTCGCGCATGGCGGACGCGGACGTGGAGACGCGCGCGTGCGAGCTCGCGCGCGGTCTCGGGAAGCGCGGCCCCGCGCTCTTCTCGCCGACGCCGTCGACGCGCGATGATGAGGACGCGGACGCGGCCCGGCGCGACGGCGACCGCGCGAAGAAGATACTCAGCCTCGTCCGCGTCCTTCTCACCGGTGCGTCGCTCTTCTCCTCGCGCCCCATCGCGCGGCGTCGCGTCGCCGCCGCGCGTCGAGGTCGCGCGCGCGCGCGCCGGTCGTCCCCGCGCCGCGCGCGCTGCCGCGTCGCCCGCGGCCTCGATCCGACGACCCGAGAAAACGAACGGACGCGCGTCGTCGTCGTCGTCGTCGTCGCCGTCGCCGTCCGTCCGTCCGTCCGTCCATCGCGCGCCGCCGCCGCCGTCGCGTCCCTTGCGACGCCGACGCGCTCGCGACGACGACCGATCGCGTCGCTCGAACGCGCGTCTGACGCCTCCGCTTCTCGTCGTCGTCATTTAATCATTCGTTCTCCCGCCGTCCGTCGCGCCGCAGCGAAAAAAGTGAAAGAGGACGCGGAGCCCGCGGAGATCCTTCCCGGGGTGTTCTTAGGCAGCATCGGCGCCGCGCACAACGAGGACGCGCTGAGACGTCACCGCATCACGCACGTGCTGACCGTCGCGAGCTCGTTCGCGCCGCGGTTCCCGGACGCGTACGAGTACTTAGTCGTGGACGTCGCCGACGCGCCGTCGGAAAATTTACGCGCGCACTTTGAGCGATGCCTCAAGTTTATCGCGCGCGCGCGTCTCGACGGAGGGAACGTCCTCGTGCACTGCTTCGCCGGAAGGAGCCGAAGCGCGACGATCGTCGCCGCGTACGCGATGGCGACGGAGGGGACGAGCCTGGAGGAGACGATGCGCGCGATGAAAGAGAAGCGACCGACCGCGGGCCCCAACCGAGGGTTTGCCGCGCAGTTGCGCGCGTTTGAGCGCGAGTTGACCGAACGGCGGAGAGACGGTCGGCTGCTGGGGCGGCTGCAGCTCGACGCGCTCGCGGCCGCCGGCGGCGGCGGGGGGAAAGAAGGCGAAGGCGAGGAGGAGGGATCGCGACGGGAGGAGGCTTCCTCCGAGCGCGCGGCGGAGGGAGGGGCGGGGAAGGACGACGCGACGACGACGACGACGACGGAGGCGGAGGCGGCGGCGGCGGAGGCGCGACCGACGTCGGCGACGACGCGAAACGTCCGGCCCCGGAGCCGATGATGACGTCGGCGGTGCGTGCGTTTCTTTACGTAGACGCGCGGACGATGCGATAGTGTGATTCAATACAATGTTGACATACATTACATACAACACTCGGATATTTACATAATAGTTGGGGTACAGTACTTCTTTCGTCCGCGCGGACTCGGCTCGCGGTTGTTAGTTTGTCGGCGGTGGTTTTTCATCACGCGTCGTCGTCGTCGTCGTCGTCGTCGTCCGACGCCGCGACTTCGTCCTTCGCCTTCGCCTCGAGCGCGTCGAGCCGCTTCAGGACGCTGAGCTGCGCCTTCCGCTGCCGCGTCGGGGGCATCAGCACGTTCATCAGCGACATCAGGCTCGCCTGAATCCCCGGCTGGAGTTTCAATCCGTAGGCGAGGACGCCGAGGCCGATCACCACCGCGTGTAACGGCGCGCCCGTGAGCTTCGGAAGCGCCACCAACGCGACGACCGCGTAGACGACGTACAGTAACGTCGTCTTCACGAGCGTTACGACGCGCATCGCCGCGAGCGCGACGATCCCGACGCACAGCAGCTTCGTCACGAACGCGTGGACGCGGTAGACGTTCACGAAGAGCCCCGCGAGCCACCCTGTGGGCCATTCCATACAAAAATAGTTCATCGGTCAGTTGAAAGGGGACGCGATCAAATGTTGAAACCGAGCGATGGGTGAAAAAAAATTGTATAACGCACCTAAGCCGAACGGGAACTTTATCCAAAGGCCCACGACGCCGAGGTACCGCGCGCGCGGGTCTCGCGACGTCTCCACGACGGACGCGATCAGCAGGTCGTGGTGCGTGTACGCGCCCTGGCGGAGGAAGAACGCGCGGGAGAGGCCGCCGTTGCTGCACACGCTGGAGGACGTGCGCAGGGAGAGGATATCGAGGAAGCCGCGAGAGATTAAACCTCTCGACGCGCACGTCGCGGCCCAGGACTCCGGGGTCGGGTTTAAGGCGGCGAGGACCCACGTCGCGGCGAGAAACGCGAGGACGGGGGGGGTCAGGCCCGCGCGGAACGCGGCGAGCGCGTTTTGTGTGTCGGCGAGGATACGCATGGCGGGCGAGCGCGCGCGGCGACGCAATGCGGGATGCTCCCCCGATGCGATGCAAAAGAATGCCCTTCGCTTCGCTTCGTCGTCGTAACTGTATCTGATCGTTCAAGCGTGGGTCACATTTCATGGGTCAATGGGTCAAACTTCATCGACGATTGAAAGCCTTTTTCTCGACCGGCGAGTTCCAAGACTTCGCGCGGGAACTACGAGTCAATCGGCGGGGGCCGGCCATTCGGACGCGCGCGCGCCGCGATACTCCTCGAGGGCGGCCGCAATGGGCACCCCGGGGACGGCCGCGCTCGCGTCCACGCCCGCGCTGGACTCCCTGGACGAGCAGTGGGAGCGCCTATCCAAGCTCGCGGCGCTCCCGACGCCCGCGTCGAGCGGCGCGCGAGGTATTCTCCCCGGAGGAGGCGGTCGGCACGGCGCCGGCGTCGGCGGGGCGTTCCACACGCCCACCCCGCGAGGCGGTGGCGGCGGCGGCGGCGGCGGCGGCGTTCACGACCACACGCCACCAGAGACGTCGCCGCTGAGGGACTCTCGAGGCCCGCACGTCGACGCCGTGGACGATGCGTTCCTCGGGACGGTGACGCGGCGGTTGATCGAAGCGCGGCGGATCCCGGGCGACGGTGGTCACCCCCGCGACGCCTCCGCGGCGTCCTCCACGCCGTCGCTCGTCCTCCCGGACGTCGCGCCGACGCAGAAGGAGCGACTCTCGAAGGAGATCATCGCCGCGCGGATGGAGCTGGACGACCTGCGGACGGAGTGCGAGACGCGACGGGCGGAGATGGACGAGCGCGAGCGCGCGTTGGATCGCTACCAAATCGAACTCGCCGAGCGCGAGCGTCTGTACCCGCAGTTAACGTCCGCTGAGCGTGCGTTACGCGAGCGCGAGGACCTCGCCGCGGCCGCGGAAGACGCCGCGAGAGCCGCGGAGGACGCGGTCGCGGAGACCGCCGCGGACGCCGCGCGAAAGCTCGAAGACGCGAAGCGATGCGAACGCGCCGCGCGCGTCGCCATGGAAGCGGTGACGACGGAATCCGCGCGCGTGAAAGAAGACCTCCAGACGCTGGAAGACCGAAGAAAGACCATCCTCGCCGAGCTCGCGCACAGAGAGAGCGTCGTGGAGAAGCGCGAGAAGGACGCGAGCGCGAAGCTGACGGAGTCGCAGAACGCCGCGGAGCGAGGCGCGACGCGCGTCGCGAGTTTAGTCGACGCCGCCGACCGAGCGCGCGCGCGACGACAAGAGGAAGAGGACGCGTGCGCGCGCGCGGTGCAGAGGAGAGACGCCGCGCGTCTGGAGGAGACCTCCGCGTCGGAGTCGCTCGAGGAGCTGCGAAGGAAGATTCGAGAGGCGGAGGGGGCGTCCAGGGACGCGGAGAGAGCGCGACGCGAGGTTTCGGACGCGACAAAGGCGCTGACGCGAGAACGAGACGCGACCGAGGCGCGTCTGGAGACTCTGCGCGCCGCGATCGCGGACGAGCGCCAAACGCGCGAACGCGAGCGCGCGGGCTCGGAGGGCGAGCGCGCCTCGAGACTGGCCGCGATGGACGCGAAAGAGCGAGAGCTGCAACGGAAAATCGCCGCGTTCGACGGCGAGCGCGAGCGAAAGACCGCGGAGCTCGAGGCTGAGAAGGCGAGGGTGGCGCGCCAGGCGGCGGAGGTGCAGAGACGCGAGGTCGCGGTCGCGGGCGCGGAGACCGCCGCGGAGCGCGTGCGTGAGCGAGAGATCGCGCTGGCGCACCGAGAGGCGGAGGTGAAGCTCGCGGAGGAGCAGCGCGAGAATTTCAAGCGGAACGTCCACCGCGACGCGCTCGCGGCGTCGGACGCGCGCGAGAGCGCTCTCGACGAGCTCGAGAAGACGCTGAAGGCTGAGCGCGGCGCGGTGGAAGCGCGCGAACGCGCGGCGATGCAGGCTGCGGAGGAGGCGGCGAAGGTCATCGCGGAAGGGAAGGCGAAGGCGTTGGTGCTAATGCGCCGCGAAGAGGAGGTGAGACTGCTTCCCATACGACCCCGTTCGCGTGGTGCACGCCGTTCCTTAAGGACTTTTCCCGTCGTCACTCTTCACCCGCGCTTCCCTTTCAACGTTTGACCAGATCGACCACCGGAAAGAGCGCGCGGACGCGCGCGACACGGCGCACGCGCACCGTGCCGGCGAGCTCGACGCCGCGGCGAGGAAGTGCGACGAGGACGCGTCCGCGGCGTCGAGCGCGGTCGCGGAGGCGGCGGCGGCGACCGCGGCGGCGGACGCGGCGACGAGAAACGCGGCGCGGAGGGAGAGGGACCTCGAGGAGGAGCGGTCGCGCCTCGACGCCAAGGAGCGCGTGCTTCTGAGGTCGCTCGAGGAGCTCGAGCACGAGCGAAAGAAGCTGTCGGACGCGACGCGCGACGCGGAGGCGCGGAGGCGCGCGCTGGAGGAGGCGACGGCGGCGGCGGGGGCGCGAGAGCTCGCGGCGGAGGCGAGGACGAACGCCGCGGAGGCCACGCTCGCGGCCGCCGCGGAGTGGGAGCGCGGGAAGGCGTCCGAGGAGGCTGCGATCGCGGCCGCGCGCGTCGAGGTGGCGAACGCCGCGAGAGAGGTGGACGCCGCTCGCGCGGAGGCGGCGGCGGAGCTCGAAGCGGCGCGAAAGGCGCGCGCGTCGCTCGCGGGAATCGAAAAAGCGCTCGAGGAGAGAGAGACATACCTCGTCGAGAGCTGGCGGCGGCGACGCGAACGCGAGCGCGACGACCCCGGGGGGCTTGTTGGGCTGTTAGAAGACGCGAGCGGCGGCGAGGCGGCCGCGGCGGCGGCGGCGTTCTCGTTGGAGGACGTCGCTTCGCACGCGACGCCTGGATCTGCGAAACCGCACGTGTGGATACCGCAAACGCCGACGACGCCGACGACGCCGCAGACCCGCGGCGGCGGCGGCGGCGGACTCGGACTCGGACTTGGACTCGGACTCGGCGGGGTCGCTTCCGCGCCGTCCACGCCGGCGAGCGTCGTCGTCGGCGGCGACGGGCTTGCGCTGACGACGAATTCGACGGACGTCGACGCCGCGAACGCTCGACTCGCGGAGGCGATCCGAAGGGAAACCGCGCTGCAGCGGTGGCAGTCCTCTGTCGAACGCGAAGCCGCGCGCGTCCGCGCGGAGACGCGCGCGCTCGCTTCGAGCGTCGCCGCGCACGGCGAGACGAAAGCCGCGGACGCGAGAACGATAGAGGACGCGCGCATCGCGGCAACCAACGCGCTGCGCGACGCGACGGAGAAGTCCTCCGCGGTGGACGCCGCGCGATTTGACCTCGAGAGCCAAAAAGAAAAACTCTCTCGGCTCGTCGCCGCGCTCGGATCGCGCGAGAGCGACGTCGCGCGCCGCGAAGACGCGCTCGCGACGCGGGAGGCGGCGGAGAGAGAGACGCGCGACGAGCTCGCGCGGACGACCGCGACCGCGACCGCGACCGCGGAGGCGGCGGTTCGGGAGCTCCGAAGGCTCGAGGGCGACGTCGAGACGCGGCGGGCCGATCTGGAGAAGATGGACGCGCGTCGAATTCGCGCCAAAGCGGAGCGCGACGCCGCCGAGGACGACGCCGCGGATGCGAAATCCCGCGCGAAGCGCGCGGAGGAGAAAGCGCGACGCGCGGAGCGCGACGCGATCGACGCAGAGAGAGCCGTCGCGAGCAAACTGCTCGAGGCGGAGCGCGTGTCCGCGGCGAAGGCGGAGGAGGCGAGGGCGCGGGGCGTCGCGGACGGCGACAAAGCGCGTCGAGAGGCGGAGGAGAGAGCCAGGGCGCTCGACGCCGAAATCGCGGCGCGCGCGAAGAAGATGGCCGAGGAGGACGCGCGCGTCGCGGCGAGGCTCGAGGAGCTCGAGGCGCTCGAGCGGACGACGCGGCGCGAGAGGGAAGACGCGACGAAAGCGCTCGACGCCGCGCGGCGCGAACACGACGCGTTCAGGCGCGTTTTATCTCACACTGGTCCCCATACGACCGCGTTCGCGTGGTGAACGCCGATCCTTAAGGACTTTGCCCGTCGTCTCTGTCTCTCTCCGCCCAGGGTCCCTCGCTTTCAATCCCCGCCCGCGTTGCCTTTCAACTCCGCTTCTGACGCCTTTCAACTCCACCCCGACGTTCGCTCGTATGGACGACTACCCTCAGGGCCAAGACGGAGGCGCTCGAGCGGCGGCGCAAAGACGCGGAGGAGTTCGAGAGAGACGCGTCGCGCCGCGCGGAGGCGGAGCTCGCCAAGTCGCGCGCGGAGGCTGAGCTCGAGTGCGCGAAGGCGACGGCGCTCATCGAGGAGGCGAAGACGAAGCTCGACGCCGCCATCGCGCGCGAGGAGTCCTCGCGTAAAATGGCCGCCGCCGCGGAGACGAAATCGCTCGACGCGCGAAACGAGATGGACTCTGTTCGCGCGCGAATGGCGGCGCTCACCGCGAGGGAGGAGACCGCCGCGCGGAAGCAGCGCGAGAGCGAGACCCAGCTCGCGGACGCGCTTCGGAGCGTGGAGCACGTGACGCGACGCGAGAGAGACGCGGACGCGAAGGCGGCGGCCGCGGAGAAGACGCTGGCGCGCGTGGAAGCCGTCGCCGCGGAGGCGGAGGCGAAAGTCGCGGCGGCGAAAGAGGAGGAGATGAAACTCGCGAGGCTGCGCGCGAGCGCGGCGAAGATGGAAGCCGAGCGCGCGTCCATCGACCGCGACGCGGAGACGGCGCGCGCGCAGCTCGAGGACGTCGCGCGGCGCGAGATGGAGGTTCGTTGTCGCGCGGACGCGGCGGATTCCGCGGCGCGCGACGCCTCCGCCGCGCTCGCGCGAGCGGAAGAGCTGACGCGCGCGTCCGAGGAGGCGGACGCGCGTCGGAAGAGCGAGCTTCTCGAGCTCGAGAGGCGCCTCGATGCGAAGCGCATCGCCGCGGACGCGGCGAGGGCCGAGAGCGACGCGCGTCGCGCCGCGTTCGCGGAGGAGACGGAGCGGAAGTTGCGCGAGCTGACGGACCGCGAGAGGGCGCTCACGCGCGAGACGGAGGCGCGTTCTTCTATCTCACACTGGTCCCCATACGACCCCGTCCGCGTGGTGAACGCCGATCCTTAAGGACTTTTCCCGGCGCATCTCTCCGCCCAGGGTCCCTCGCTTTCAATCCCCGCCCGCGACGCCTTTCAACTCCGCTTCTGACGCCTATGAACGCCACCCCGATATCATCGCTCGTATGGAACGACCCGGAGGCGTTTTCGGCGGCGAAGAGCGCCGAGATGGAAACCGCGCGGTCGCAGCTACAGGTCGAGCTGCAAAAGAAGCGAACCGAGGCGAGCGCGAAGCTCGACGCGGAGCTCGCCGCGGACCGCGACGCGCTCGCGCGCGAGAGAGCCGAAACGCGCATCGCGCAGCGCGACGCCGAGGCGCTGCGGGCGCGCTGCGAGCGCGAGTCTGTCGAGCTCGAGACGCGCGCGAAGGACGCGGACGCGGCGGTTACGGCGTCTAGAGCGCGCGAGGCGAAGACGCTCGCGGACGCGGCGTCCATTCGCGCGAAGCTTCTCGCCGCGGAGAGCTCGCTCGCGGACGCCAAGACGGTCGAGGCGGAGGCGGAGCGGCGTCTGAATGACGCGGAGCGCAGGTTTAACGCGTCAGCGGAGGACGCGCGCGCCAACGCGGCGTTATCCGCGGCGCTCGCGGTGCGAGAGGCGGCGGTCGCGGAGGACGAGGAAAACTTGCGCATACTCGCGGAGTCGATCGAGCCGAGAGAGGACGCGGTACGCGCGTCGGAACAGCGCGCCAGGGACGCGCACGACGCGATCGAGGCGAAGCAGCGCGCGGTCGACGGCGTCGTCGCCGCGACGGAGCGCGCGGCAGCGGCGGTCGCGGAGAAGGAGGCGCGGTGCGACGTCGTGCTCCGACGCGAGGAGGAGGCGACGAAGAGTCGACGAGACGCGGAGGCGTTCGCCGAGTCCGCCGCGACCGACCGACTCGCCGCCGCGAAAGCGCTCGAGGAGACGGAGGCGCGATGCGACGAGACGCGCGCTCGAGCCGTCGAGCTTAAAGTCGCCGCGGAGGAGGGCGCGGCGCGCGTGGAGGAGAGAGAGCGCTTACTTCGAGACGCCATCGCGCGCGCGGAGGCGGAGCACGCACGGCTGTCGGAGACGCGCGCGGAGCTTCGCGCGCTCGACCAGCTCGCCGCGGAGTGCGGCGCGCTTCGCGACGAGAAGAGCGCGCTCGCGAGCGCGGTGGAAGCGCTCGAGGCGAAGCGCATTCGGCTCGTCCGAGAAGCGGAGGCGCTCGCGGTGGAACGCGCGAGGGTGGACGACGACGCGGCCGCCGCGCGCGACGCGAAGACCGCCGCGGAGCGCTGGGAGATTCGCGCCGAGGCGGCGTCCGCGGAGACGACGCGGCTCTCGGAGCGCATTCGCGAGCTCGAGAGGCGCGCGGCGGACGCGGACGCGGCGACGACGGCGGCGGAGCGAAGGAAGGATGAGGCGATGGCGGTGCTGTCGGCGGCGACGGCGACGGCGGCGGAGGTGTCGGCCAAGGAGAAGATCGTCGACGCGAAGGAGAGAGAGCTGGCGCAGCGGGAAGCGGACGCGATCGCGAGGGAGGAGGACCTCACGACGCGCGCGAGGTCCGTCGCCGCGGACGTCGCGAGCGCGGATCGAAGAGGTGAGAAGTCGAGGGCGGCGGCGGCGGCGGCTGCGGCGGCGGCGCGCGCGCACGCGAAGCGCGAACGCGAGTGGCTCGAGCGCGCCTCCGCGGAGCGCGAGGCGCTGCGCGCGAAAGCGGACGAGCTGGAGACCGCGCGCGTCGCGGCCGTCGCCGCGCGCGCGGCCGCGGACGCCGCGGAGACGGCCGCCGCGCGCGAGCGGCGCCTCCTCGAGCGCGAGCGCGACGAAGCGCGGGAGTTTCGCGTCGAGTCCGAACAGCTCGCGCGAGCGACGGCTGACAAGAAACGGCATCTCGAGGACACGCTGCGCGTCGCCGAGATCGAGGCGTCGCGCGTCAGGGCGCGCCGCGCCGAGGTGGAGCGCGACGCCGGGCAGTACGAGGCTCTGCGCCGCGCGCGTCTGGACAGCGACGCGGCGGCGGCGGCGGCGGCGGCGGCGGCGGCAGCGGCGACGGCGGCGAAAGCCGCCGCCGAGCGCGCCGCGGACGAGGCGGACGCGCGCGCGTCGCGCGCGCTGCGCGACTCGGCGAAGAAATCGATCGAGCTCGAGGAGCTGCGCGGCGCGGAGCGAACGACGATCGAGGCGCTGAGAGGCGAGGCGGAGGCGAAGCTCTCGGCGGCGCGCGACGCGCTCGACACCGCGCGGCGGGTGAAGCGCGAGACGACGACGGCGAAGAAGGCGGCGGCGCGCGGCTTGATGCCGCCGCCGCCGCCGCCGCGGTCCTCGTTGCCGACGCCGAGGGTGCTCAGGATGGGAGAGACCCCGGCGGGATCCGAGGCGGGGGACGACGACGACGACGCGGACGCGAACGCGGACGGCGTCGCCGAGAACGCCGCGCTGCAGCGCGACGCTCTCAACCGACTGACGCGCGCGTTGCGAGAAAAGGTGTCGGACGCGAACGCGAAGTTGATTCGCGCGGAACACTTGGGCGCGGGCCGCGCGCTCGCGACGTCGTCGTCCGGGGGGAAGACGCAGACGCAGACGCGAGGGGAGGACGCGAGCGTCGCGCGGCTGCGCGCGAGGCTGAAGAAGATCGAGAGCGACGCCGACGCGCTCTTGAATCTCGCGGCGATGGAGACGACGCGCGCGGAGGAGACGCCGCGCGAGGGACGCGACGACGACCGCGACGAACGCGATCTCCCGCCGTCAAGCGAACTCGTCCGGAGGCTCGAGACGCAAGAGACGCGTCTGAGCGAGTGGCACGCGGATCTGTACGCGTCTCTCGAGGGGTTGTACGCGTCCGCGACGACGACGTCGACGGCGACGCCGTGGAGATCGAGGCGCGGGTCCGAGGCGCGACGGTCCGCCCCGGGCGCGTCGTCGGCGGAGGAGACGCCGCGCTCGAGCGGCGCGTGGAAGTGACGGACAGACGACGCGCGCTGTTTCATCAAAGTCTCTCTGCTGTAAACACCTTCTGTCGTTAGACTAGTAGCTAGTCTAACGGCTTAGTCTAATTAAGATTAAAACTCGCGAGCCTCAAACTCGTTCGTCGTCGCGCGACCGTCGCCCCGTCGCCGTCGCGCGCTTCTCTTCTTCTCCCACGTCCTCGAGCTCCGTCCCTCGCGTCTCCGGCAGCGCCGCTCTCGTCGCGACGTACGCGGGCACCACCGCGAGCAAGTACGCCCCCCACACGCCGTTCACGCCGAGCGACGACACCATCGCGGGGAACGACCCGGACACGACGGCGTTCGCGAGCCAGTTCGCGGCGGTCGCGAACGACACGCCCGCCGCGCGCGCGTCGTTCGGGAACACCTCGGACGATATCACGTAGGGCAGCGGCCCCAGGGACGTGGAGAAGGCGACGCGGAAGACGAAGACGCCGAGGACGGCGACCCACGGACCCGCCGCCGCCGCCGCGCCGCCGCCGCCGCTCAGGTGCCCGCCGACCGCGAGCAGCGAGAGTCCCGCGCCGACGCCGAGTATCCCTCTGCGCGCGACGACGCGACGGCCGACCGCGTCCACGGCTCTCGACGTCGCGAACCCGGCGACGATCTGTAACACCCCGATCGCGACCGTCACCGCGATGCTCCCCGCGGCGGTGAACCCCAGCGACGACAACACCGAGGGGGCGTAGTACACGACGACGTTGATCCCGCAGAGCTGCTGCAGGAGGTTCATCCCGACCGCGACGGACGTCGCGCGCGCGTACCTCGGCTTGAACAGATCCGCGTACCCGACCGCGGCGGATTGAACAGATCCGTCGCCGCGCGTCGACCGCAGCGGCGGCTGCCCGAGTGTCGCGAGCGCCGCGACCGACTCCTCGTCCCTCCCGCGCGCCGCGAGCCAACGCGGGGACTCCACCATCGCCCTCCGCAGCGCCAACTGCGCCGCCGCGGGGACCGCGCACAACGCGATCGCGACGCGCCACCCCTCGCGCGGCCACCGGAGAAAACACTGTCGGGGTGGAGTTGAAAGGCGTCAGAAGCGGAGTTGAAAGGCGTCGTGGGCGGGGATTGAAAGCGAGGTGTGGGCGGAGAGAGACGCCGGGAAAAGTCCTTAAGGATCGGCGTTCACCACGCCGACGGGGTCGTATGGGAACCAGTGTACAGAACGCACCGCGAGCGAGAGGACGTACGACGCGAGGATGCCGACGGTGCCCGCCAACGGCGCCGACGCGGCGAGGCGCCCGCGCGTCCTCGCCGGCGCGCACTCGCTCACGTACATCGTGCACACGCTCGTGGAGACGCCCACGGCGAGGCCGACGACGAACCGTCCCGCGGTCAGCCACGCGAAGCTGCTCGAGAGCGCCATCGCGGCGGCGCCGAGGAGGTAGAGGAGGTCGTTGAGGAGCAACGAATCGCGTCGACCGAGACCGGATCTCGACGCGACGGACGCGAGGAGCGCGCCGACGAGCGCGCCGAGGGGCGTGCACGCGACGACGACGGACTTACACGTCGTGGACATGACGCCCAGGGAGGTGGTGCCGCGCTCGAGGACGACGAGCGCGCCCGCGATGGACCCGGTCGCGGCGCCGAAGGCGACCATGGAGAGGCACGCGACGAAGGTGAGGGCGCGGAGATTGCGATCGATGATGGTGTCGTCGTCGTCGTCGTCGTCCTCGCGCGCTTCCCCCCCCCCGCGCGCGTCGTCCTCCGGGGACGCGCGCGGCGGGGGGGGGCTAGGAGGACGCCGGCGGGGACGACGGAGCGCGCGAGGCGGCGGCGACGAGAACCCGACGCGGGACGACGACGCGTCAGATCCGCGACGCGTCGCGCGCAGATGAAACGACGACGACGACGACGACGACGAGGACGAGGGGAGGACGCGCGATGCGCGCGCGCGACGCGAACGCGCGCACGAATCGAACGCCGCGCACGAGGCGAACGCCGCCGCCGCCGCGGACGCCGCCGCCGCCGACATCGCCTCCCGCTGCGCCGCCGTCTTTGAGCGCGTCGTCGTTCGTTGTTAACGCGGTGGAGGATATATCTGATCGTTCATGTCGCGGCTACGAGAAGACTACCAACGCGCTCATCACGACTCCCTCCCTACTGACCCCTCGCCCGCGCGACGACCGCCCGCGCGCCGCGCTCGACCGCCCCGGCCGCGAACTTCACCGCGCCCGCCAACCCCCCTCCGAACAGCGTCCACGCCGCGGCGGCGCCGGCGGCGCCGGCGACGACGGCGGCGACGCCCGCGCCCGCCGCCAACAGCCTCGCCAGCGCCCCCCCGCCCCCCCCCCCGCCGCCGCCGCTCCCTGCGGCGTGCGCCGCCAAGCCCGCGACGCCGACGGACACGAACGCGAAGCACGCGGCGACGAGCGCGAGCAACACGCCGAAGCGCGTCCGCCAGGACGCGGCGACGTCGGACATCTCGCGACGCGCCCTCGAGAGCGACGCGTCGTGCGCGGCGGCGCTTTCAGCGGCTTTCGCCGCCGCCGCCTTGGCCGCGTCGTCGCATTTCCCGGACGCCGCCTCCGCGCGCGCCTCCGCGGCGGTGACGGCCGCGCGCGTGACGTTCTCCAGCTTCGCCTCGAGGGCGGCGACGTCGCGCGTCACGTCGTCGAAGCGGTCCGCGTACCGCGCGTTCAACGCTTCGACGTACCGATCGAACATGGACTGGTTCAGCTCCAACGCCTTGATCTTTTTCGCCATCAGCGAGAAGACGTTCTCGGAGCCGCCGCCGGCGGACGACGACGACGACGACGACGACGGTTTCGACGGCGTCGGCGGCGTCTGCGTCTGCGTCGGCGTGGACGTGGACGTGGACGTGGACGTCAGCTGCGGTTTCTCCTCGTCCTTCCCCGCGTCCGAAGGCGACCCCGACGCCGACGTCGACGTCGACGACTTCTCCTTCTTCTCGTCCCTCCCGACGTCTGCTGGTCTCTCCTTCTCCCTCTCGTTCGCCGCCGAGGCCGAGGCCGAGGCCGCGTCGCTCGACGTCTCCGCGCTCGCGCCCGAGGTTGCGCCCGCGGCGCGCTCTGGCGCGCTCGGCGTCGCCCGCGACGCGTCGACGGGATCCTCGGCGGCGGCGGCGGCGGCGGCGGCGCCGCCGGTCGTCGACGGCGCCGAAGCCGAAGCGTCCGCCGTCGCGTCGACGCGCGTCGCGTCGTCCTTCGTCGCCGCCGCGCCCGGTCCCGGCGTCGCGGACGACGACACCGCGGTGTCGTCCGTCGCGGCGTCCTCTGCCTTCTCCGTCTCCGGCGGAGTGTCACCGCCGAACCAGTTGAGCCACCCTTTCCCGCTCGCGGCGGTTGGGTTTTTGTCGTCGCCGTCGCCGCCGCCGCCGCCGCCGCCCGCCGCCGCCGCGTCCGCGTCCGCCGCGGAAGCTGAAGACCCCGAATCCGGCGTCGCCGCGCCCGCGTCCTCCGAGGCGGTCTTCGACGTGGTCACCGCCGCGGGGGTATCATCCGCGCCCGCGTCCACCTCGTCCGCGTCCGCGGCCGCGTCGTCGTCGCCGCCGCCGCCGCCGCGATCATCGTCGTCGTCATCCCCGACGTTTGAACCCTCGTCGACGCGCACCTCCGCCTCCGCCTCCGCCTCCGCCTCCGCCTCATCGGCGTCGCGCAGGATCTCCTCCACCTCCCGCACCTCCATGTTGATCGCCTCCATCTCCTCCTTCAACGTCTGCTGCGCGTCCTTCCCGTGCACGCGCAGCAAGCTCACCGTGCAGTAGTGATACGCGCCGTAGTGCCCGGTCATTCGAAGCTGAAGAAACTTACTCCACGCGCCCGCGCCGGGGAGGACGAACGTCTGCGCGTCGCGGTGCCCGCTCGCTTTCCCGCGCGCTAGCCGCCGCCAGCCGTCGTCCTCGTCGTGGCCGCCCGCGGTGCCCCACACCTCGAACTCGCGCACGCCGCTGCTGTGGAACTCGTAGTTGGCGAGCGTCAGCGCGGTCACCGCGGCTTCCTCGGAGAGCTCCACGGTGAGCCACTTCCCAGACTTGGCGCCGCACGGGGTGATGTAGTACGAGTCCATGTGCTCGCTCAGCGCGGAGGCGGGAGATTTCGACTCTGGGTTGGACGAGACCACCTTGGCGCCGTTCGACGCCGCGGCGTAGTTGTACTGCGTCGCGTACGCCGCCGCGACCTCCGCGGGCGCGGGAAGCACGAGAGGGTCGGACGCGTCGTCGTCGGGGGCGTCGGCGGCGGCGAGGTCGGCGGCGGCTTCCTCATCGTTCGGCGCGCCGGTCGCGTTCGCGTCGTCGTCGTCGGCGGCGTCGGCGAGATCGGCGGCGTCGGCGGCGGACGCGTCGCTCGGCGGCGCGTCCCCCCCGGCGGCGTCGGACGGCGGCGGCGGCGTCGACGGCGGCGTTCCGACGTTCGCGTCGGGGTCTTCCGCGGAGGAGGGCGCCGGTTCGGGCGGGGGAGGAGACGCCGCGGCGGGCGCCGCCGCGGACGCCTTCGTCGTCGCCGTCGCGTCGTCGCCGTTCGCGTTCGCGTCCGTCGCCGCCGCCGCGGCGCCGGGCAAAACCTCCGCGTTTTCGCCCTCGCGCGACCCCCCCGCGAAAAATTCTTCCCCGCCGCTCTCGCTCTCGCCCTTCTCCCCCGGGGCGGCGGCGGCGACGGTCTCCCCGCCGCCGGTCGCGTCCTCGTCCGCGTCCGCGGGCGTCTTCGCGTTTTCACCCCCGCCCCCGGCCCCGCCTTCCGATCCGCTCGCGGCCTCCTCCGCTTCCTTCCGCTTCCTCTCCGCCTCCGCCGCCGCCGCCGCCGCCGCCGCGGCTTCCTTGATGGCTTTCTGCTGCTGCTCCTCCTTCGCGTGGATCACCTTCGCCTCGAGGTCGTGCTTGAACGCCTTCAGCGACGGCAGCTTCTCTCTCTTCGCCCTCTCCCTCTCCGCGGCGACTCTCGCCGCTCGCTCCGCCGCTGCCGCCTCCTCCTCCGCCTTCGCCGCGTTGCGCGCGCCCTCGACCACGTCGGAAACGCACACGAGGGGTACGTCGTCGTCGCCGCCGCCGTCGCTCGTCGTCGTCGCCCCGCGCGTGAACGCGTCGAGGTCGTCCCGGGAGAAGCGATCGAGCGGTCGGCGACACGTCGTGGACGAATCGCCGACGCCGAGGACCGAGGGCGCTCGGCCCGGGCCTCGACCGCCGCGAGACGACGACGGCTCCGCGTTCTTCGGGGGGACGAGGACGCCGATCGTCGACGGCGGCTGCGCGGTCGTCGTCGTCGTCGTCGTCGTCGTCGTCGTCGTCGTCGTCGTCGTCGTCGCGGCGGCGGCCGATTCGTTCGCCGCCGCGCCGTCCGCGTCTTCCGAGACGGACGAGGCCGCGGGGGAGGACGCGGTCGTCTCCGCCGCGGTCGCGGTCGTCGGCGTCGGCGTCGCGACGCTCGAGTCGCCGCCGCTCGAGGACGCGTCCATCGCCGCGGACGCCGTCCCCGTCGCGGACGCCGCGGCGACGCGCGGCGCACCGCTCGTCAGGAGCGCGATCGTCGCGAGCGCAATCATCGTCGTCATTATTCCCAACCCGCGACGTCCGCTCCTCGCCGCGCGGTCGCGTCGCCGCCGCCGCGGAGGCGGCGGATCTACCATCCCCGCCGCAGCCCGCGTCCTCGGGAGCTGGATCCGCGCTCGCGAGTCGCGCGCGGTGCCGTCTAAGACCCGCGCCGCGCCCTCGCGTTGTGCCCGCGCGACCGGAGATTCGCGCTTTAGAAGTCGACGGACGCGGATCGCGACGCGAGAAAAATTGCTTCCGCCCGTTGCCTGATCGAGACGTGCGACGACGCCCCGCCCCCCACCTCCTCCTCACTCCGCGGACGCGCGCGGATGGGCGTCGTTCCCCGCGCCGTCGCCCCGCCGGTCGCGCGACGGACCGGCGGCGCCCTCCCGCCGCGGGCGCGTCCGTCGAAGCGTCAGGAGAAGGAGAACGTCGAACGCGCGGGGCGGATCTCGCCGTCGTCGTCGTCGGACGACGACGACGAGCGCGTCGTGCCGAGTTTAAAGACGGACGACGACGCGGAGGAGGGCGACGTCCCGGAGGCGACGGCGACGGCGACGGCGACGGCGACGGACGACGGCGACGACGACGACGACGACGACGACGACGACGACGAGCTGACGGACGAGCAGCTCGAGCGCAGGCTCGAGGATATCCGACGCGCGCTCGCGGAGAACGACGACGACGACGACGACGACGACGACGACGACGACGAAGCGACGGATCCGTCCGAGCGCCGCCCGCCGCGCTCGTCCGCGTCGCTCCTCGCCGCCGCGCCTCCCGGGGTGCGAACGCACGACCTGCTCATCATCGACGACGACGACGACGAGCGCAAGGCGTGGAACGACCAGGTCACGCGCGCGGAAGACGACGCCCTCGACGCGCTCATCGCGAAGCTAGGCGCGGGCGTCGACGATCTCGCGGCCGCCAGCTGTACCGCCGCCGCCGCCGCCGCCGATGACGCCGCGCCGCCGCCGAAATCGACGCTCGCGCCCCCCCGACCGAGCACCGCGAAGCTCCGCGACGACGCGGCCGCGCGCGACGCCGCGGCAAAGCGCGAGCGCGAGCGAACCGTGCGCGAGCTCCGCGAGTACCTCGACGCCGCGCGCGAGGCGCGGAGACGACGCGAGGCGGAGGACGCGGCGCGACGCGCCAAGGAGGCGAAAGACGCGCGCGAAGAGGCGGACGCGCGCGCGTTGACGACGGCGACCGCGACCGCGACGACGGTGCCGGACTTTCGGCGGTGGCGCGTCACGACGACGCCGGAGGAGCGCGCGGCGAGGGACCTCGACGCGGCGACGACGACGACGACGACGACGGCGGCGGCGGCGGACGAGGAGGAGGATCCGCGCGTCGCCGCCGGGCTCGCGAGGATCGCGCGCCTGGACGAGACGCTCCGGAAGAGAGACGCCGAGGCCGCGGTCGTCAAGCTGGAGACGCACGGGATCGTCGCGCGGCGATCGAAGAGGGACGGGCGAGCGATGGAAGCGACCCCGGAGGAGGCGAGAGAACGCCGCGAACGCCGTCGGATGAAAAAACTGGCGAGGTTGCGACGCGCGCTCCGCGGCGAGGGCGCGCGCGCGATGGGCGGCGCCGCGGCGAAGAACGCGGAGATGTGCGGTAATAACGGCTGTCACGACGGGGAAGACGGAACGTCGACCGACGCGGACGCGCCGATACACGCGCTCGCGCGGCGGTTCTTGCGGCTGTCCCCCGAGGAAGACGAGCTCGCGGAGAGGCTCATCGCGGACTTCGAAGCCGCCGGGGGGTTCGACGACGTCGCGTCCGCGGCGACGTCCGCGGCGACCGGGTGGGGCGCGCCGTCGTCGAGGGAGGGCGGCGGCGGCGAGGGGGAAGGCGGTGCGGACGTCGCGTGGGCGCGGAGCGGGTTGGGGGGCGCGGGGGAGGAGGAGGAAGAGGAGAATCCGTTCGTCGTCCCGGCGTCGCTGGCGTCTCTGGCGTCTCTGGCGTCGTCGTCGTCGTGGGACGTCGGCGAGGGCGGCGGCGGCGGCGACGGCGACGAGAACGACGTCGCCGCGAGGCTCGCGCGCATCGACGGGCGGCTGACGTCGCTGCGCGGCGGCGCGACGGCGACGACGACGCGGTGGGTCGACGGCGGCGGCGGCGGCGACGACGGCGACGACGACGACGCGACGACGACGACGACGACGACGCGACGACCGGAGTCGCCGCCGCTCGCGGACGCGGCGTCGACGTCGTCCTCGACGGCGACGGCGACGGCGAGCTACCTCGAGTCCAAGCGCGAGACGAGAAGGCTCGTCGAGATGGAAGAGCGGCTCGACGCGCGTCTTCGTCGGCTGCGAACGGAGGCGCCGTCGCGCGACCGTCCGGACGCGGGGACGATGGAGGCGTTGCTCGCGGAGGCGCGCGCGGCGGCGGCGCGCGACGACGGCGGCGGCGGCGGCGGGGGAGAGGCGCGCGAACGACGCGACGAGCTCGTCGCAGTCAGCAGAGCCGCAGCGTGATGCGATACCTCGTTATATCAAACGACAGATAGACGGCGAGAACCCTCCCGCCGCCGCCGCGCCGCGCTAGACGGGCGTCCGCCCCATCTTCCCCCCGCTCGACTCCGCCGCCTTCTCGTTGTACATCAACCCCTTGTCCAACACGTACCCCACCTGGTGAGGCTTGAGCGCCATGTACTTCCCGAGCGGCAGCTCGCTCGGCATCCGCAACCCGCCGACGCGCACCCGCTTCAGCTTTTTACAGTCCACGCCCGCGCTCGACGCGAGCTGTCGGACCTCGCGGTTCCTTCCGTCGACCACCTCGACGAGGACGCGGTTCGGCGGCCCGCCGTCGCGGTCGTTATCCTGGAGTTGAAAGGCGTCAGAAGCGGAGTTGAAAGGCGTCGAGGTGTGTCGGGATTGAAAGCGAGGGACCCTGGGCGGAGAGAGACGACGGCAAAAGTCCTAAGGATCGGCGTTCACCGCGCGAACGCGGTCGTATGGGGACCAGTGTACAGAACGCACCATACTTCGGACGTTCACCGGCTTGACGAACGCGCCGTCCACCTCCGCGCCCGCCGCCATCGCCCTGATCTGCGCCTTCGTCGGCCTCGCGCTCGCGGTCAGGACGTAGCTCTTCACCACCTCCGACTTGGGGTGCGCGACGCGCTGGCACCACTGCCCGTCCGTCGTCACGAGCAGCATCCCGGTCGTGTTGACGTCTAATCTCCCCACGGTGAAGAGCCGCGGCGGCAGCCTCTTCGGATGCTTCTTCCGCCACGCCGCCTTCCACTCGTCGAAGAGGTCCATGACGAGCTTGCCGCTCGCGCCGCCGCCGCGCTCGCCCTTGCCCGGCGGCTTGTTCGGGCTCTTCGCGTTCGCGCAGATGTACCCTTTCGGCTTGTTCAGGAGGAAGTACAGGTGCTCGCGCGTCTCCTCCACGCCTCCTTGGATCACCTTGCCGTCCACCGCGACGACGTCGTCCGCGAGGACGACGTGATGCTGCGGCGCGGTGACGACGACGCCGTTCACCGCGACGCGCCCGGCGAAGATGAGGTCCTCGCTCGCGCGCCTCGACGCGACGCCGAGCTGCGCGAGCGCCTTGCCGAGGCGCACGCCCTCGGACGCGAGGCGCTTGCGCGCCGCGGGCGAGAGCGCGTGCTCGCCCGTGAACGTCTTCTTCTGCGGTCTCGGGCCGACGCGCTTCGGGGTGTTCTGGTGCCTCGGCGTCTCCGGCGCGAACCCCTCGAACGGCTCGGAGGAGGAGGAGGACTCGCCCCCGTTCGCCGCGGCGGCGGCGCAGAGCCATCGTCTCGGCGGCGCGAACGCGGCGCGGATGCATCCGCCGCCGTCCGCGGGGCCGGCGCCGCGGCGACGCCCGACCGCGACGGCGACGCGCCCGGCGAGGGACGCGAACGACGCGCCGAGCGACGACGTCATGTCGAATCGCGCGGCGGAAGCGCGCGCGCGAGGGAGTGCGGCGCGTCGACGAGCGGGCGGCGCTCACGCTTCGTTTTCACTTTTAGGGATGCGAAACGTAAACGCGGTCGGCAACGAAAGCGACGGCGCGTCGTCAGTCAGTCCTCGACGCGCGCGCGCCGGCGTGCTATGCGCGGATGACGAAGCTCGTGAAGCGTCTCTCGCGCGGGGGCCCTCCCCCCGCGGGAGGAGCCAAGTCGAAGTCCCCGGGAGGCGGCAAGATGAGCGCCCGCGCCCAGCCCGAGAAGAAGAGCAAACACTCCTCGTGGAAGGACGACTACAACAAGGATCCGAAGCACAAGTGGAAGGGCCGCGCGGGGAAGGCGGTGAGAGCGCGCGAGGAGGCGAAGCGGCCGGGGTTCGAGCGCGGTCGCGAGCTCACGGTCGCGGAGGTGGCGAAGATGATGGCGCCGGTGATACAGCCGGTGCGGGCCAAGTACAGCGGTCAAGGATTCGCCAAGCCGTCGTGTTTTCTCGAGCTGCGAGACGCCAACTTCAGCGAGCGGCTGACGCAGCTGTACGACGAGCACGTGGACGGGTTCACCGGGAAGAGCTTTCAGAAGATGGGCAACGCGCAGGATAACATGCTGTGGCGGCAGCGGCTGAAAGCCAAGGCGGAGGCGGACGGAACCGTGAAGAAGAAGAAGATGAAGCGGCGGCGGGACGACGACGACGACGGCGACGGCGGCGGCGGCGGCGACGGCGACGACGGGAGGGAGGGGGCGGGCTCAGGCGCGAGCGGCGGCGGAGGCGGCGCGCGCTGGAAACGGAAGGACGCGTCCAGCGGCGGCGGCGGCGGGGACGAGCCGTGGATGGGCACGACGACGACCGACCCCGCGTCTGGCGGCGGCGGCGGCGGCGGCGGCGGTACAGCTGGCGGCGGCGGCGGCGGCGGTACAGCTGGCGGCGGCGGCGGCGGCTTGAGCAGAAAACAAAAGAAACTCGCGGCGCAGATGGGGCTGTCCGAAGACGCCTTCTTGAAGATGCAGACCGCGAAGGTGAAAGTCGAGGTGGACGAAAAGGTGAGGGATGGCGCGATCGCGGCGTACCGCGCGATGCAGCGCGCGAAGCTCTCGAAGCAGAACGCCCGCGGGAGGTGAGGCGACGCGTCGCTCGCTCGAAAGCGTCTTCTTTTCGCGGTCTTTGTACTTTCTCGTAACGTCGAATTCAACTAGATAGGATACATCATCGAAACCCGCCCGCGTGCCCGCCCGTCTGTCGTCTACATCACCTTCTTCCCGCTCTGCCACGCGCGCTTCCCAACGGTAACGCCCGTCGCGACGACGTTAAAGAACACGCCGAATAAAAAGAACGCCGCGAAGAGCTCCACTTCGATCACCGGCACCCCCGTCTCCCCCCTCAACTGCTCCAGCGGGCCCATCCCGCCGGTCACCTTATCCCCCGCGATCGCGAACGTGATCCCCAACATCGCGAGTCTCCCGTTGAAGACCTCGTACGGCCGCTGCTCCCTGACGACGTCCGTGATGGCCTCCTTGACCCCCGCGGTGATGGCGTCGACGCGTTTGGCGCCGTTTTTAGCCGCTTTGGCGTTTGCGCTGGAATAGGTTCGCACCGGCTTCCCGAGCGCGTTGCCTTGCTGCACCGCGGCGAGGAACACCAGACCCAGCGTGACCCACAGCACGAACACGCTCTCGACGTAGAACCCGGCCACCTCGAGCGCGTCCTTCGCGAGCTCGTACGGGTTCACGTGGTTCACTGGCGGCGCGCCGCGGGTGGTTCGAGGGGGTGCGTTCATCGGTCAGTGTACGGTATCAGTTGAAAGGCGTTCGCGATCGAATGTTGAAACCGACGAGGGTGAACCGCGGTGGGTGAAACAGAACCGACGACGCGTGCGCACCTATGAACATCTCCTCGTCGACGAGCTGCTCGAGCGGTCCTTCGCCTCGCGTGACGACGTCGCCGACGGTCGTGAAAAAGAACCCGAGCATCGCTGCGGAGAGAGAGAGAGAGAGAGAGGCAGGGAGAGGGGAGACGCGGGAGGTCAGCGCGGTGCTCCGCGGCCGGCGGCGACGGCGGAGGGAAGGAGAAGGAGGAGGCGAACGATAAAGATGGACGGACGGACGGAGCGCGCGCGCGAGATGCGCGCACCGGCTCTTCCGAGGCGCATCTCCGTCGTCTCCGCCTCCGTGAGCGCGGTCTCGTCGCGCTCGGACGTGGACGCGCGCGCGGCCGCGAGCGCGCCGCGGGACGGCGCGCTCGACGCGGCGGCGCGGAGGCGCGCGACGCGCGCGACCGCGGGCGACGCGCGGCACGCGATCGGCGTCGTCGTCGACGCGCGCGGCGGCGGCGTCGCGGCGGCGCGCGTCGGGAGGACGGACGCGCTCGCCATCCCGGACGGGACGCGAACGCGCGCGGAGGCGAGCGCGACGGCGGTGGACATGTCGACGTGCGACGGCAGCGCGCGTCTCCGAGTGCGCGTCGCGTGCCGTCGGTTCGAGGCGTCGAGCGCGAGAGCCGACGAAACGCTCAAAGCACTCACCGCCTCTAAAAATTTGCAGTTCTGCTGTATTCTGTACGCGTACTCTGACTGCGTCGCATACGCGAAACGAGCGGATGACGTGGCCGCACGACGTCGCACCGCCGGCGGCCCGGCTGGTCGTCCTATCGTCGCGCGAGCAGCGCGCGACGTCCGTCTGTCGTCGCTGTCGTGGCATCATATCCAAGCGGCGCAAGACACGCACGCTCGACTCCGACACGCATCCCACGATGTCCGCGACCACGTTCGCGTCTCCCACGGCGGCGCTCCGCCGCGCGTCCGCGCGCGCGCCCGCGCGAATCCGCGCGGCCGCGTCCGCCGCGCGCGGCGGCGTTCCCGCGTCGCGGCGCGCGCCTCGTGCCGTCGTCGTCGCGATCTCGTCGAAATCTCGCGGCGCCTCGACGCCGCGACGCCGGCAGCGCGGCTCCTCCGCGCTCGCGCGCGCGTCCGCGGACGAGACGACGACGGAAACGACGGAGTCCCCCGCGGCCGCAGCAGCGCCCGCGCCTTCCGCGCCGCCCCCCGGCACCTTCGCGAAGATCTGCGACTTCGACGACCTCCCCAGAGGCGATCGCAAGCAGTTCAACGCGCTCGGAAAGTCCCTCCTAATGTTCTACTACAAGGACACCATCTGCTGCATCGAGTCGCGATCGCCCGCGGAGGGCGCCTTCAGCGAAGGCTTCGCCAACGCGCGCCTCACGCAGGACGGCTGCATCATCTGCCCGTCGACGCAGAGCACGTTCGACCTCAAGACGGGCGAGATCCGAGCGTGGTATCCGGACAACCCGGTGCTCCGCAAGCTGACGCCGATCGAGACGTGCCGCCCGATGGAGGTGTTCCCCGTGCTCGCGAGGCAGGACGGCATATACGTCGACGTGAAGAACGGAAGCCTCGGGCCGGACTTCCGCGCGGCGACGACGATGGGCGGGTCGAACACGAGCCTGGAGAACAACAACGTGTACGCGGTTGAGCCGATGATGTACGTCGAGGGCGAGGACGGGGATCGGGTCTCCGCCGCGGGCGACTTCAGGGCGGACGCTAAAGGGGCTTCTAAGGAGAAGATGGACCCGGGGACGCTCGCGATCACCATCGCGGGCGTCGCCGCGCTCGCGCTGGGGGGGAGCGCGACGTGCGTGTTTTACGAGCAGTACGTCGCGCTCGGGGTGTTTTGGTTGATCGGGTTCGGCGTCGCCGCCAAGGTTGGGCTCGAGGCGACGGGCGCGCTGGACGACGACGCGTGATGAGTCGATGCGTTGACTCGACTCGAGTCGACTCGAGTCGAGTCGAGCGCGCTGCGATGAGTTTGGTTTGGTTTGGTTTGGTTTGGTTTTAATATCCGAGAGAATAGACGCCGCTACAGTACGCGTAATAACGCATTAGACGCCCGCCGCCTACGGCGCGAGTTCTTCTTCTTCTTCTTCTTCTTCTTCTTCTTCTTCTTCTTCTTCTTCTTCTTCTTCTACTTCGTCTTCTCGCCGTCGCTCCCGAACGCGCGCCACGCCCCCGCAATCGCGCTGCCGATGCACGAGTGCGCCGTCGCGGAGATGGCGCACGGCACCGCGACGAGCGGATCCGCGAAGTGCGCGGTGGCGAGGACCACTCCCAGCGCGCTGTTCTGCATCCCCACCTCCACGCTCACGGTCCGACGGTCGCGCTCTTCGAACCCGAACGCGCCGGCGACGTGGTACCCGAGGAAGAAGCCGGCGAGATGGAGGCACGCGACGGCGGCGAGTAACGTCCCGCCCGCGGCGGTTATCGCCGCGGAGGACTGCCCGATGATCGACGCGCAGATCAGCGCGACGGTGCCCACGGCGACGAGCGGGCAGAACGGGGACGCGAGCGCGACGAACGCGGGGGCGAACTTCTTAAGGAGTAATCCGCTGAGGACGGGCATCAACACGACCTGCACCGTGGACGCGAACAGCCCGGCGGCGTCCACGGGGACGAGCGTCCCGGCCAGCGTTTTCGTCATCAGCGGCGTCATCGCCGTCGCCTTGAGCGTCGTTCCATACAAAGCGAAGTCGGGGTGGAGTTCAAAGGCGTCAGACGGAGTTGAAAGGCGCCGAGGGCGGGGATTGAAAGCGAGGGATGAGCGGAGAGATGCGCCGAGAAAAGTCCTTAAGGAACGGCGTTCACCACGCGAACGCGGTCGTATGGGGACCAGTGTATAGAACGCACCATGAACGTGCTCGCCGTCGTCAGCACGACGGAGAGCGCTGCGGAGAGACGACGGACGCCGAATCGGTCGGTAAGAAGTCGGCGCGGCGAGCGAGCGCGTCGGTTCGTCTACGTCGTGATGGACGACGTGGACGATCGTGCGGTCGAGAAACGCGCAGGGAGACACGTGTTACGCGAGGATAGGAGGAGGCGTTCGTTCGCGCGCGCGCGCCGACGCACCGACGTTCGCGTTCGCGAGGTAAGTGACCAAGTTGCTCGCGGTCCCGCCCGGGCAGCACCCGACGAGCACGAGCCCGACCGCGATCGAGGGGTGCACCGGAAACACTCGTCCGATCAACAGCGCGGTCAGCGGCATGATGGAGTACTGCAGCGCCACGCCCACGGCGACCTGCTTCGGTCGACGGAGCGCGTCGACGAAATCGGACGTCTCCAGCGTGAGTCCCATGCCGAGCATCGTGACCGCGAGCGCGACCGTGATCGCCCTCCCCGTGAACCACGTCACCGCGGGCGGGTTCGTCATCCCGACGACCGCGCCGAGGAGGACCCAGAGCGGGAACGCGTTCGTGAGCGCCGCGAGGACGGACGCGATCGCGCTCGGCGGCCACGACGACGACGAGGACGGCGACGGCGACGACGACGACGACGAGGACGAGGACGGCGACGGCGACGGCGACGGCGACGGCGCGGCGCGTCCGCCTCCCGTCGGCGACGGCGACGCGCACGCGTCCGAGCTCCAGTCGTTGCCGTACGCGTACCCGTACGCGTACCCGTACGCGTATCCGTACTCGCGGTGCGCCCTCGCGCGCGCGCGCGCGGACGCGCCGCGTTCGCGCGCGGGCGGCGCGAATTTGGTGATCATCGTTCCGCTCGCGCCGACCCGGGACGCGGCCGCGGGGACGGCGCCGCCGCGCGGCGTCGCGCGCGGGGTGGACGCCGGCCGCGACGAGACGCGCGACGGGCGCGACGCGATCGCGCCGCGCCACGCGACGACCGTCGTCATCGCGAGGGAGCGCCGAGGAAGTCTGATGCGATCTCGATGTGTTGTTAACTCGACGACTGACATGAAGGGCGTTTCCGCGTGGTGATCGTCGTCATCACAACGGGATGCGCGCGCGCTTCGGTGGGCTCGGCCTCGCACCGGCGACGATCCCACTCCCGCCGCTCGCGAAACGCGCGCGCGTCTCCACCGCGCCGCCGCCGCGCGCGCGCGCGTCGACGGCGATGGCGGCGTCGTCGTCGTCCGACGCCAATAAGAACGGGCGCGTCGACGCCGACGCCGCCGTCGTCTTCGTGTGCGACGTCCAAGAGCGGTTCCGCGCGGTCGTCGACGGCTTCGCGCACTGCGTCCACGTCTCGAGCGTGATGTGTCGAGCCGCGGAGATCCTCGACCTCCCAATCGTCTGCACGGAGCAGTACCCGGAGAAGCTGGGAGCGACGGTGGAGGAGCTCCAGCCCGCGCTCGCGGCGAGGCGCACGGCGCCGAAACCGAAGAAACTCTTCTCGATGGTCACCCCGGAGGTCGCCGCCGCGCTCGACGCGCTGCCGAAATCGCGCGACGTCGCGCTCGTGATGGGCCTCGAAGCGCACGTGTGCGTGCTTCAGACCGCGATGGATTTGCTCGACCGCGGGATGACCGTCCACGTGCTCGTCGACGGCGTGAGCTCGCAGAGAGCCGGGGATCGCGCGGTGGCGTTGGCGCGGCTGGCGTCCACGGAGAGGTGCTTCCTCTCCACGAGCGAGACGGCGCTGTTCCAGATGCTGAAAACCGCGGAGTCGGAGTGCTTCAAGCCGATCAGCGCGCTCGTGAGGGAGCCGCGGCCGGAGCCGCCGCTGCCGTCGGTGTGACGCGTCGCGACGGACGGACGGACGGACGAGAGAGCGCGACGGTTGATGATGAGACGAGATAGATCAAGGTTAAGGTTGAGATAGATCAAGGTTAAGGTTACGACAACGGCAGAGACAAACAACAGAAGCGATCGATCGCTAGCTAGTACGACAGCTTCTTGAACACCTTGTCGATGTCCTCGCCCCACTCGTTCTCGTACGCCTCCAGGAGCAAGTCCGAGGACGTCTTCCCCGTCGTCGCGATCTCCATCAGTCCGTCGACGAAATTTTCCTCGTTGGCGCCTCGTCGCCTTAACCCCTCCTTCGCGATCTTCACCATCTCGATCGCGACGTCCTGCACCGTGCCGTCGCGAAACGGCGTCTGCAGCGCGTCCTTCGTCACCGCGTGCCGCAGGTACTCCTTCTCCTCGGGCGTCCAGTCCGCGACGAGCTTCTCCGCGTCTGATGAGGGCCATTCCATACAAAAACAGTTCATCGGTCAGTTGAAAGGGGGAGCGATCAAGTGTTGAAACCGAGCGATGGGTGAAAAACGTTTGTATAGAACGCACCCGACAACGCCGTCTCGTCGTACAGTAGCCCGACCCACACCGCGGGCAACGCGCAGATGTTACCCCACGGGCCTCCGTCCGCGCCGCGCATCTCCATGTATCGCTTCAGTCGCACCTCCGGGAAGCACGTCGAGAGGTGCTGCTCCCAGTCGTCCAGCGTGGCGTGCACGCCGGGGAACTGCGGGAGTTTGCCTTCCATGAAATCCACGAACGACTCGCCCGTGACGTCGTGGTAAACGCCGTCTCTGTACACGAAGTACATCGGAACGTTCATGACGTACTCAGTGTATCTCTCGAACCCGAACCCGTCCTCGTAGACCCAGGTCAGCGACCCGGTCCTGTCCGGGTCCGTGTCCTCCCACACGTTCGATCGCAGCGACTTCATACCGCTCGGCTTGCCGTCGACGAACGGCGAGTTGGCGAAGAGCGCCGTCGCGACGGGCTGCGGGGTAATCGTCCGTACGAGTTGAAAGGCGTCAGGGGTGGAGTTGAAAGGCGTCGAGGTGTGTCGGGATTGAAAGCGAGGGGTGATGGGCGGAGAGATGCGCCGGGAGAGAAAATCCTTAAGGAATGAAGTTCACAACGCGAACGCGGTCGTATGGGGACCAGTGTAAACATGAACGCACCTGCAACGCGAGCGACGTGCGAAATTTCCTCACCATGTCCTCCTCGTCCGCGAAATCCAAATTCACCTGGATCGTGCACGTCCGGAACATCATGTCCAGCCCCCGCTTCCCTCGCTTCGGCATGTACGCCTTCATGATCTTGTACCGCCCCTTCGGCATCACGGGCGTGTCCGCGACCGACCACTTGGGCTGGAACCCGAGCCCGAGGAAGCTCACGTCGATCTCCTTCGCCACCGTCTTGACCTGGTACGAAGCGACGTCGAGGTGGAGTTCAAAGGCGCCAGTTCGAGTTGAAAGGCAACGCGGTCGGTGATTGAAAGCGAGATGTGCGCGGAGAGATGCGACGGCGAAAGTCCTCAAGGAATCGCGTTCACCACGCGAACGCGGTCGTATGGGGACCAGCGCGAGGAGAACGCGCCTGGTACAGGTGCGAGTGCACCTCCGCGCACGTCTGATGCAGGTTGATCAGCGGCGCGCCGCTGAGTTCGAACTGCCCGCCGGGCTCCAGCGTCACGGACTGCCCATCCAGCTTGGCGCCGATGATGTCGTCGCCCTCCATCATCGGTTGCCAGTCGAACCGTCGCACGAGCGCCTCGAGGAGCACCTTGAAGATGATGTCGGGGTGGAGTTGAAAGGCGTCAGTGGTGGAGTTGAAAGGCCTTCGTCGAGGTGTGTGCGTCGGGATTGAAAGCGAGGGGTGATGGGCGGAGATAATCGCTGGGAGAGAAAGTCCTTAAGGATCGGCGTTCACCACGCGTGCGCGGTCGTATGGGGACCAGTGTGAGATGGAATACGCGCCTTGACGTGCGCGTCGTACTCCATCGGTCGCAGGTTGCTCTTCTGGTACCCGAACTTCTCGTGCTCGGTGCCGATCCTGCGTTGGTTTTGGGTTTGGACGGGAGATGAGACGCGACGCGATGCGATGAGGGCACGCACGGGGGAAAGGAACGGAACGATGGAGGCGGTGTGATGAAAGCGAATTAATAAAGCGAGAAAAAGCGCCGCGCGACGACGGACGGGGAGGGAATGAATCGCCGCGCGCGGCGGATAACGCCGTCGACGTCGACGCGACGCGCGCGCGATGGAATCGGGCGCGCGCGCACCTCCACTCCGACTTCGGCTTCGAGCCAGATCGGAGGTACTCCACGAGGTCCGCCTTCGTCAGCGGCGTCGTCTGCACCGCGGCCTGCGCGTGCGCGCGCGCGCGGACGGCGGCGGACGTGACGACGCGAGCGAATCTTCCACTCCGCGGTCGCGCGTCTCGGACGCGCGCGTTTTGGCGCGCGCGGAGCGCGCTGACGCCCGGGGCGACGTGGCGCGCGCTTCCCATCACCGCCGCCATCGTGGATACGACGTGCGCGTGCGCGAAAAGGTCGTGATGCGCGCGTGCGGGCGGGCGCGGACGAGTGGCGCGCGCGCCCGTCAGACGACGAAAGCTGCGAAGAAGCCTTTTTCGCGGTTAGCGGTCGACGACGACCGCGTCGACGCGTGACACGAATTGGTGTCACGCCTCGTTTTAGCGTAGTAGTCGCTCCGAGCGTCGTTCACAACGCTACTCTCTAACGCGCGCGCGTCCTCGCGCGCGTCCTCGCCGGCGTCTCCACCCGAGATGAAAGAAAAACCCTCTCCCTCTTCCGCCTCGACCGCCGCGCGCGGCGAAGACGCGAAGGCGTCCTCCGTCCTCTGTCCCGAGCCGTCACTTTCGCTCCTCCCTCGGCGCCGCCCACTCCACGCGCAAGATGAGGTTGTCGTACCCGTACCCGTCCAGCTTGGAGATGGCTCTGTTCGCGTCGTCCTTGTTCACGAAGTTCACGAACGCGAACCCGCGGCTCTCCCCCGTCTCGCGGTTGAACGCGACGTATATCCGCGTCACCGGACCGAACGGTCGGAACAGCTCCTGCAAGTCCTGCTCCCGCGTGTCCTCGGAGAGGTTTGAAACGCGCACCGAGTTTTCGTCTCTTCGTCGGTTCATGCTGTCGCCCATGCTCTGCCCGCCGCTCGCGCCGGCGCGCATGGACGGCGGGACGTACCCGCCCTTCCCGCTCGACGCGCCCCCTGGTCCGTCGTCCTCGCCCGGGGGTTTCGCGTCGCCCAGGCCGAGCGTGTTCATGGACGCGAGATCCTTGTACGGGCACTTCGTCGTCCAGTGGTCGCCCTTCTTGCCGCAGATGCGGCACACGAGGAGGCTCGTGTTCGAACCCGCCATCGCGGCGAGGGCGTCGCCGGACTTCTCGGACTCGCTCTTCGGCGTCGTGCGGTGACGTTCGAGGAAGATCTCCTCGATCGACACCGCGGTCATGGACTCGTCGCCGGGTTTGTATCGCTGCGCGTCGCCGAATTTCGCCCACTTTTTCCGTGCGAGCATCTCCTTCGTCACCTTCTTCGTGACGGTGTTCACGCGCACCTTCTTCACCGTTCGCACCTGCGGAGAGTCGTGGGTGAGTCGCGGGGTGAGGACGGAAGGGGGGAACGGAACGAACGACGACGACGCGCGAGTCACGCGCGCGGCGATCCATCGCGGGGGCCAGGGCGCGGCCGGGGAGAGGGGTTGGGACGGATGGACTCCGCGCGACGATCTCGTTCGATCGGATCCCGCGCGTCGTGGGTTGGACGGAATCTTTTCTTTAGGGTTGAGGGCGCGACGCGACGACGCGCACCTTGAGTCCGTCCTCTTTGATCCTATAGTCGATGATCGTCTTCACGCCGTTCGCGTCGGGTCCGAACACCTGTGGACGGACGGAGGATGATTCGCGCGCGCGCGGAGGAGGGAGAGACGTCTCAGCGCGCGGTTCATCAGCGAGGGGAGGCGCGAGGGGTGGACGGCCGCGCGCGATCGAGTTCGAGCGAACGATCGTCGTGCGGCGCGTCGAAGGGCACGCGCCTGCGACGCGGGGAGCGCGACGTCGAAATCGTCGTCGCTCCCGTCGAGGTCCGCGGAGTCGCCCCAGCGCATCTTGCCCGACATCCTGGGAGTCGCGCGCGCGTTCGCGTGGAGAGAACGCGCGGTGCGGCGGAGAGAGAGCGGTCGCGCGCGGGGCGTCGCTCGCAGAGAGAGCAGAGGCGGGACCGCCGCCGCTGCGATCGACCGCTGTGACCGACCGACCGCTGCGAGCACGATTCCCACGTGTCGACGCGGAACGATAACAACTTCACTCCCTCTCGCGCGCGTCATGGCGAGCGCCGCGGCGACGGCAGCGCGGTGGGCGCGCGCTCGCTCGACGCCGCGGGGCTGCATCTCGTCGACGACCGCCGCGCGCGCGCGGTCGAACGACGCGCCGCGCGGCGCGTCCGCGGCGTCCACCTCGGAACGCACGTCGCGACATCATCATCATCGACATCATTTTCAACGCGCGGCTCGGCGGTGGTCGCCGGAGACGCGACGACGTCCCGCGCCGCCGAAACCCCCCGCGGCGTCGGCGTCGTCGAACGCGAACGACGGCGACCTCAACGTCGCGCCACCGTTCGCGCTCCCGTCGCCGCTCTTCGCGAACGGCGTCGGCCCGCAGGTGCCGGAGGCGAAGGCGGCGAGATCGATGAAGCTCCTGTTCACGATGGTCGCGCTGCGCGTCGTCCTCGCGCAGGAGGAGGGCTTCGGGAACGAGTGCCACGACGACCCGTCGTACACGGAGCTGTACGACGACCTCACGACGTATCTCGGTAAAAACCCGCTGAACGCGGGCGGCGACGGCGAGGCGTGGCTCCGGGAGCTCATGCGTCACGATAAGCTGCACTGCCGCCTCGCCGCGGTGAGACTTCTGGAAGTGAGGGACGTTTACGCGTCGAGAGAGTTCGATTGGGGCGAAGTTCGAAGAGAAGCCCTGGAGGACATGGAGGCGACGCGGATCGCGATGCTGAACGAGCACCTCGGCGCGAGTCTGTAGCGGGAGATAGGGAAGGGGGTTCGGGGGGTTCGAGGGGTTCGGGTCGTGCGAGGAACAGGGGGCGTCGCGGTGGCGGTCGAATTGTTGTAACCAATTGATGAATTGTTTTTTTATTCGCGCCGCGCCGCGCGCCGGCTCGTCGCGAGCGTCGAATCGATCGCGTCACGCGTAGTAAAACAGATCCGCCTTCTTCTTCGCCTGCACCGCGATGATCCCCTCGACGAAATCCTCGTGCGACACCTCCGTCCCGTCCCTCCTGAGCGCCAACATCCCCGCCTCGACGCACACCGCCTTGAGCTGCGCCGCGTTGAAATCATCCGTCGTCCGCGAGAGCTCCTCGAAGTTCACCTGCCCGTTGATGTTCATCTTCCTAGCGTGAATCTCTAAGATCTGCGCGCGCGCGTCCTCGTTCGGGTGCGGGAACTCAATCTTGCGATCCAGACGCCCCGAGCGCAACAGCGCGGGGTCTAAGATGTCCGCGCGGTTCGTCGCCGCGATGATCTTCACGCGGTCGTCCGACGAGAACCCGTCGAGCTGATTCAGCAGCTCCAACATCGTCCGCTGCACCTCCCGGTCGCCGTTCGTATCCGAGTCGAACCGCTTCGTGCCGATCGCGTCGATCTCGTCGATGAAGATGATCGCCGGCGCCTTCTCTTTCGCGAGTGCGAACGCGTCGCGAACCAGCTTGGCGCCGTCGCCGATGAACATCTGCACCAGAAGCGGCCCCGCGAGCTTGAGAAAAGTCGCGTTGGTCTGCGGGTCGAGGGTCGTTTGATTGGTGGGTGATGTGGCGGGAAGTGATGTGATTGGTTAGTTATTTGATGGCATGGATGGATGTTTCATTGGACGACAGAGAGCGACGGAGAGGGCGCCGGGTTAAGTCCTTAAGGAACGGCGTCCACAACGCGAACGGGATCGTATGGGAACCAGTATGAATACGAACGCGCCTGCGCCGCGCACGTGCGCGCGATGAGCGTCTTGCCCGTCCCCGGCGGGCCGTACAGCAGCACGCCCTTCGGCGCGCGGATCCCCAGCGTCTTAAACTTATCCGCGTGCGTCATCGGAAGGACGACCGCCTCGCGGAGCTCTTGGATCTGCTTGTCCAGACCGCCGATGTCGGAGTAATCCTCCGTGGGTTTCTCGTCCACCTCCATCGCCTTGACGCGCGAGTCAAACTCCGCGGGGAGGGTGTCCAGGATCAGGTAGCTGTCCTTGTTCACGCCGACGAGGTCCGCGGGTTTGAGCTTATCTGTACGATTCGCGGGTGTGATGGATGCGCGAGGAGGGAATGTCAGATCAGACGTCGAGAAGCGAGCGAGCGAGCGCGAGGGAAAGAAAGCGCCGACCGACCGATCGTGAAGCGCGGGGAAGGTTTATCGATCGATCGATCGAGCGATCGATCGCGACGCGCCTCCGTCGACGAGCCCGATGACGGGAAGGAAGATCGTCTGCCGCGTCGTCGTCTTCAACACCACCGCCTTGCCCTGCCTCGCCGCGTCTAAGTCCACGTTCGCGCCGTCGTCCTCTTCTTCCTCCTGAGAGCGAAGCGAGCGCGCGCGCGGGGGGGGAGATGGGAAGGCGGAAGGTCAGATCTGACGCCCTGCGAGGCGGGAGACGGAAACGGGACGACGCGGCCCGGCGGACGCGCGAGGCCGGGCGACGCGCCTCCGGCTTCAGGTCCAAGATCTCCACGACGTTCCCGACGAGGTACGGCAGCTGCTTGTTCATCTTGATCTTCTCCATGTTCTCCTTCACGCGCTCTTTGTCCCCCTGCAGGTCCAGCGCGAGGCGGTTGGACTCGTCCCTCAGCACGCGGATCTCGTTCTCGAGCAGACGCGCGCGCATGTTGATGTCCTCCGCGGTCGAGTCCTCGAGCTCCTTCATCATCGCGACCTCGCCGTCGTCGAGCTCCATCGCGGCGGCGTCGGTCATCGCGACGACCGGTGCCGCGCGTTGTGGCGACGCGCGGCGTCGTCGTCGTCGTCAGATCCGCCGCGCCCGGCGGGCTTTCAAACGGGCTTGAAACCGCAACCTTGGCAGTGACGAGCCGGCGGCGTCGCGTCGTCGGTTCGCAAAAGTTTAGTTTCGCGGCGCGGTGCCCACGCGCTTCAGTCGCGACCGCGCCGGGCGTCTCCGGCGAGATGGCGACGCAGCTGAGGAACTGCGTCGTTCGGTGCGGCGCCTCCGGGTTCGCGGTGGATTACTGGGGGCACAAGGACTTCATCGGTGCGCGCGGGGACGACGAGCGCCCTCCGCGTCGGGTCCAGCAGATAAATCTGGGCACCCGAGAGAATTTTGATCTCATCCATCGTTCGTCCGTCGCGCGTCCCTCCTGACTCTCCCTCCCCGCCCTCCGCGATACGCCGTCCGTCCATCAGGCGCGTACTTCCTCACGCACGCGCACTCGGACCACCTCGTCGGCTTGAACGGCGAGTGGGAGTCGCGCGGCGGCGCGATATACTGTTCCCCGGTCACGCGCGCGCTGCTGTTTCGAAAGCATCCCGCCCTCGAGACGCGCGCCGACGTCGTCGTCGTCGCGTTGTCGCTCGGGCGCCCGCACGTGATAACGCTCCAGGGCGGGGAGTTACTCACCGTGACGCCACTAGACGCCGGGCACTGCCCCGGGTCCGTGGGGTTCCTGTTCGAGGGCGCGTGCGGGAGGATATATCACACCGGAGACTTCCGACGAGAGGACTGGTGCGGCCGCGGCGGCGCCGCCGCCGCCGCCGCCTCCGCCATCCCCGAATGCCTGACGCGCGCGCCGCTGGACCTCCTCCTCCTCGACAACACGTACGCGAACCCGACGTACGACTTCCCCGCGCGGAGCGACGCGGCCGAGGAGGTTCTCGCGATCGTCTCGGAGGCGACCGCGCGCGGCTGCGACGTCTACGTGGGGATCGACTCGCTCGGGAAAGAGGCGCTGTTGACCGCCGTGGCGACGGCGACGGGCGCGGCGGTGAGGGTCACGCCCGAGCGCGCGGCGGCCGCGGCGGTCGCTGCGGCCGCGGCAGAGGACGAGGAAGAGGACGACGACGGATGGGGGTTCGGCGACGGCGACGGCGGCGACGGCGACGGCGACGTCCGCGCGCGGCGGCGGTGGCGGCACTCGAGCGTCGACGCGGGGAGCCTCACGTCCAAGTGCACCGCGTCAGGCAGGGTGTTCGCGGTGCCGAAGCAGCAGGTCACGCGCGCGAAACTCGCGCACTTGCAGCGGCACTCGGCGTCGCCGATCGTGGGGGTGCTTCCGACGGGGTGGGCCGCCGCGCCGTGGGCGTCCGCGGGCGGCGGCGGCGGCGGCGGCGGCGGCGGCGGCGGCGGCGGCGGCGGCGGCGGCGGCGGGACTGGGGGCGACGTCGACGACGACGGGCCGGCGTTGCGCTCCGTGCCGTACTCGCTGCACGCGCCGTTCGCGGAGCTCGAGGCGTTCGTGAAGGCGTTGCGACCGATCGCGGTCGTCGGGAACACGCGGCCGCCGCGGGACCCGGACGCGCCGTGCATAGACGTCGGCGCGCACTTCGCGCGGTGGTGCCGCGGCGGCGGCGGCGGCGGCGGCGGCGAGGGCGGCGAGGGCGCGCGGGTCGCGGCGCCCCGCGACGTCGCGGCGGCGTCCGCGGCGGCGGTCGCCGCGGCGAGGCTCGCGACGGCTCAGCCGCGCGTCCTCGGCGGCGCCGGGCACGCGATCCTCCGCGCGTTCGACCACCGAAACGCGGCGAACGACGACGACGACGCGCGCGCGCTCGGTCCCAGCCCCGGCGGCGGCGGAAAAGGGCTCTCGCTCTCGCGCGCGGTGAACGGGTACGAACGGCCGGCGGCGAGCGCGTGGGAGCGCGACAACGTCGGCGGGGATACCGCGTCGGAGCCGGACGACGACGACGACGACGACGACGACGCGCCGCCGGGAGACGCGTCCGAGGACGAGCTCGACGCGCTCGCCGCGGCGTTCGCGGTGGACGTGTTGAAGATGGCGCGACGCGACGGACGCGGACGAGGGAAGCGCGCGCGCGACGCCGCGGACGACGCGTGGGAGAGGCTCGGTCAGGCCGCGTCGTCGCCGTCGTCGCTCCCCGCGACGGGGAAGCAGAGGTGGCAGAGTAAGCGACGGCACGTGCCGGGGTGGTTCGCGGCCGCGGGGAGACGCGTGAGCGGGTTGTTCAGAGCCGCCTCGTCGCCCGGCGGGCGAGGCGACGCGTCATAGGAAATTGATTGATGATCACGACGCGACGACGACGAGACGACTGAGCTCTTCACTTCGTCTTGGTCGCGGCGGCGGTCCCTTCGGACTCCTGCCTCGCTTCCTCGCGCAGTCGACGGAGCCGCTCCCAGCGCGTCTCCTCCTTCTTCTCTTCTTTCTTCTCCGTCGTCGCCGCGGGTTTGGGTTTCTTCGCGTCCGGCTCCGGGGCGGCTTTCGCCTCGGGCTTCTTCTTCGAGTCCGCGCCGCGCGGCTTTGGCTTCTCGTCCGCGGATGATTTCTTCGCCTTCTTTTCCGCTTTGGCCTTCTCCGCGGCGGCTTTGTCGGCGGCAGCCTTTTCGGCGGCGGCCTTTTCGGCGGCGGCCTTTTCGGCGACGGCTTTGTCCGCGGCGGCCTTTTCCGCGGCGGCCGCTTTCTCCGCCGCCGCGGCTTCCTCCGCCTTCGCCTTCTCTGCCGCCCTCGCCTTCTCAGCCGCCGCCGCGTCCGACTTCGCCTTCTCCTCCGCAGCCTTCTTCCGCTTCGCCGCCCTCTCGTCGGCCCGGGTCTTCTCTCTCTCCGCCGCCTCGAGCTTCGCCTTCTCCGCGGCGGCGAGCGCGGCGCGATCCGGCGTCGGCGCGGGGTCGTCGCCGCCCGCGACCGCCTTCGCCTTCGGGACGGTCTTCGTCGGTCGACCGGCGGACGCCGACGCCGACGACAGCTCGCGCCGCGCCGCCGCCGCCGCCGCCGCGGCGGCGCCGCCGCCGACGAGTCGCCGCAGCTCCCCCGTCGCGTTCGCGCTCAAGAACTCGTCGTTCCCGCCGATCCTCTGCCCCTTCACGAACACCTGCGGGATGCTCTTGTCGCCGTACAGCAGCGACAGCGCGTCGACGACGCCGTGCATCCCGTGCGTCTCGTCGCGGTCGACGTCCACGACGAAGGGATCGCGCGCGCCGTTCGCGAGGAGCACCTTGATGACGCCCCTCGAGCGCGGGCAGTACGACTTGGAGAACACGACGACGTCGTGCGCGCTGACGGTCTGAAGCACGTACGCGTTCGCGGGCGGCGCGAGCGCGCGCGCGGGCGCGGGCGCCGCGAGGAGGAGGAGGAGGAGGGAGAGGAGGAGGAGGAGGGCGGAGGACGATGATGTTAACCCTCGCGCGGCGGCGAGACCGCCGCGGCTCGTTTTTATTTCTCCTCGCGTTTGAACGCGAGGCGCGTCGCCTCGCGGGGAGGGAGGCGCGTCGCGTCCGCGCGCGGCGAACGACAGCGCGCGCATGGCGAGCGACGACGACGTGACGCGTTCGCGCGCGCGGTGCGCGATCGATACTGACGCGGTGGGGGCGGTGGGCGCGCGAGGAGATGAGGATCGATCACGTTTCGAACTGTGAACAGAATAAAAGCCCGCGGCCTCTCGCATCGTCGTCGTCGTTCTTTTGAGGGAGGGGTTCACTGCTGCCTTTCGCGCTGTAATTCGGGTCGGTTTTTTGTGCCGATGCGTGGCGGCATTCCGGCGTTCTTATTGGCTGGCGCGCGCTGCCTTCGCGCTGCCTTGAGCGGCGAGGCAGCGCGAAGGCAGCGCGACGGGCAGCGCGCGGGGCAGCGCGCGGTCACGCGGTCACCAGTCACGCGGGCAGCGCGCGGGCAGCGCGACGGGCAGCGCGAAAGCAGCGCAAAAAGAAAAACGGGCAGCGGTCAAAGCAGCGCGCTCCAGCCTATCAAATCGCCGGAATGCCGCCACGCATCGGCACAAAAAACCCGATCAAATTACAGCGCGAAAGGCAGCAGTGAACCCCTCCCTCTTTTGCGTTGCCGCACTCGTCGCACGCACTGCGCGGCACTAGTCTAGGTGCGGCCTGACCCCGCTGGTGACGTCAAACTTACACACCGGGCACGTCTTGTGCGCTTCCAACCACCGATCGATGCACGCGGCGTGGTACGCGTGAAGGCACGGAAGCGTCCGCAGCACGTCGCCGTCCTCGACGTCGGCCATGCACACCGGGCACGTGGTCGACTCCTCGGCGTCGTCGTCGCCGCCGCCGCCGCAGCCGCTCGCCGTCGCCGCGTCGTCGTTCATCCGTCCGCTCTCTTCTTCGCCCTCGCCCTTCTCCTTCTCTCTCGCCGCGCGCCTCTCACAGCTGTGCGCGTGCGTCGGGAACGTGTCCAGCGTCTCCCGCGCCACGCCCGGGGTCCCGCCCACGCCGAGCTCCTCCGCGAGCGCGCTGAGGCTCTCAAACGTCAAGCCGTCGCCGCGCTCGCGCGAAAACTCAAACTCGTCGCCGCCGCCGCCGCCGCCGCCGTCGACGTCGAAGAAGGTTCGGAAAAACTCCCCGGCGCCCGCGCCCGCGCCGGACGCGCGCGCGCGCTGCTCCATGTGCTGCCCTAAGAACGACGCGAGCTCGTCCGGGTGACCGAGGCCGGTCGCGCCGCCGCCGCCGACTCTCAGCGAGAAGGAGCCGAACGGAGTGTTCAAAGAAAACGTCGCGCCGCCGCCGCCGCCGCCGGCGGCGGCGTCCGCGACGGCGGTTCTGCGCCGCCTCGCGGCCGAACCCGTGGGGTATCTGTCGGCTCTCGACTCGCCGCGCGCGCCCCTACGCGCGGCGTTCCTCGCCTCCGCGGCGAGCTCGCGCTGGTACCGCGCGTGCAGCCGTCGCGCGTACGCCTCGTCTCGTTCCATCTGCGTCGAGGGCTCGGGCTCGGTGCGCGACGCCTCGGAGAGCGCGCTCGCGATGCTTCGGAACGCGCTCGCGGTGTGGTGCCCGAGGAGACCCGCGCCGAGCGCGGCGGAGTACAAGAACCCGCGGTCGCCTCCTCCTCCTCCTCGCGAGCTCGTCGTCTCCGGCGTCGGCGACGACGCGGGACGCGCCGCGTCGTCCGTCGTCAGATCCCGCCCGCGCGCGTCTTCCTCGTCGTCGTCCTCGTCGGAATGATGCGTCCGACGAAACATCTCGCGCGAGGCCGCGTCGCTCGCGCGCTCGGACGACTCCCACAGTCTCCGGCGCGCTCTTCGCACGTCCTCGAGCTGCGCGTCCGTCGCGCTCGTGCGCGCGGACACGTCGCTCGTCACCGTCGTCATGTCTGGTGTCGCGCGGCGCGTTGTGATGACGGGGGGTGCGGCGTCGAACCTTCCGAGATTTTCTACAGTTCTTCTCTCGCGCCATTTTCTCAGCTATTACACGTGGCACAATAAAGCGACGATGACACTACTCCTCCTCCTCCTCGTCCTCCGTCCCCATCTCGGGCCCCGGCAACGGCTCCAGCGCCGCGCGCGCGTACTTTGGCGGATCCGCGCGCAGCGCGAACCCTGCCGGCGTCTCGAAGTCCCTCCCCTCCATGTACGACACGTCCTCGTCCCACAGATCCTCCAGAGTCTTCCACGGCTTCCCGGGGCCGGTGTGAAACGCGCCGTGCTGCAGCCTGTACTGCTCCTCGTACGACCCGAACGCCTTCAACCCGTCGATCCACTCCGGCGGGTAGACCCCCGCGACGCACGCGCGCAGACACTCCAGCTGGTGCTCCTCCGTCGTCGCCTTCGCGACGCACGCGACGCCTCTCTCGATGAGCCAACGCAACACCGCGGCGGCGGGGCCCGGGTCGAGCGGATCGCCGTCGTCGTGCCGGCGCGCGATCGGATGCGTCAGCGGCGCCGGCCCCGAGCGTTTTCGCCTCATGGGGCCGAGCTCGGAGAACTGATCGCCGCTGCCCAGGCATCCGTACGCCATGACCTGCACGCCCCGCGACTTGCAGTACTGAAGCAGCGCGTCGTTGCGGAAGTGCGCGCCGCACTCGATCTGAGGGTAATTGTCCATACGAGCGAACGTCGGGGTGGAGTTGAAAGGCGTCAGAAGCGGAGTTGAAAGGCGTCGCGGGCGGGGATTGAAAGCGAGGGGTGGGCGGAGAAAAACGACCGCCGGGCAAAGTCCTTAAGGAACGGCGTTCACCACGCCGACGCGGTCGTATGGGGACCGGTGTGAGATAGAACGCGCCTGATTCACCGCGGGCGGGATCCGCGTCCCTCCGAACACGAAGACGTCCTCTCCGCCGGAGACGTCCTCGCCGCCGTCCATCAGCGTCGCGAGCTTCTTGACGCTGAAGTTGCTCACGCCGATGTGACGCGTCAACCCCGCGTCGACGAGGCGCTCGAGCTCGGTCCACTGCTCCGCGATGGACGCGAGCTGCGGGTGCGGCCACTGCAGGAGGAGGAGGTCGAGCGCGTCGATCCCGAGATCGTCCAGCGTCTCTCGGACGCGCGCCTCGAACGCCTCCGGAGGTAGATCGTGCGTCATGATCTTGGACGTTATGAACAGGTCGTCGCGCGTCAGCGGGACCCCCGCGAGCGGCGTCTTCGCGTCGCCCCCCACGCACGCGGCGATGGCGGCGCCGACCTCCTTCTCGTTGCCGTACACCGGCGCGCAGTCGATCGCGCGGTAGCCCGCGGCGATCGCGCGCGTCACCGCGTCCGTCGTGTCCTCGGGGCGCATCTTCCACGTCCCGAGCGACAGCGCGGGCATCGCGCGGCCGCTGCGGAGCGTGAACGCCTCGACGCTTCCGACGTCGTGCGGCATGGCGGCGGACGGGTCGTCCGGGACGCCGCGGCGCGTCGTCGAGTGATGGAACTGAATCAATTTGTTTTCTCGAACGTGCGACCTCGGACGAGGTCGCAGTCGTCCCCGCGCGTCCGTCCGCGGGGCGTCTCCGATGTACGCCGCGGACGACGCGGACGATGACGGGCACCGGACCGCGTTCCGCATCGCGGAGAAGAAGTGCGCGCCGCGCCGCGCCTCGCGTCGTTTCTCGTCTCGTCTCGTCTCGTCGCGTCGCGTCGCGTCGCGTCGCGTCGCGTCCGCGCCCTCCCTCCGTCCGACGCGACGACGACGCATCTCGCGGTCATCACCACGTCTCATCACCTGTCATCTCGCCCGCGCCCTCCGCGCCTCCTCCTCCTCCTCCTCCGTCGCGCGCAGGTACAAGCTCCACCGCGAGCAGACGTTCCGCACGGACGCGAAAGGTCGCCGCCGCGGCAGGCTCGCGCGGCTCGTGACCAGACCGGTCGACCTCGACGACGTCGTCGACCTCCGCGACGCCTCCTCCTCCTCCGCGCTCGTCCGACGCGTGAGCGACGACGACGGCGTCACCGAGTACTTCACGATGCCGGAGACGCACCCGGGGTGCGTCCTCGTCCCGAACGCGCTCGACCTCGACGCCCAGCGCGAGTGGCTGCGAGCGGCGGCGACGACGATGCACGAGCCCCCCGCGAGGACGAACCACGGCGCCGCGCGCGGGAGCTTCTCGGGTCTGTGGGACGCGGCGGCGACCGGCGACCGCTGGCTGCGCGACCGGGAGGCGCGCGAGGGAAGAAGCGAGGGAAGCGAGGGAAGCGCGGGAATGGAAAAAGAAACGGACGCGTGGGAGACGTTAGACCCGGCGCCGACGAAGGGCGACCCGCGATGCGCGACATCCGCGTCGCATCTACTGCGGAAGCTGCGTTGGGCCACCGTCGGCGCGCCGTACGACTGAACCGCGCGTCGATACGACCTCTCCGCGCCGCGCCGCGACGCGCCGGACTTTGTGCTGACGCGATGCCGCGAGCTCGCGCGCCTCGCGGGGCACCCCGCGTTCGCGGGCGACGCCGGGCTCGTGAACTACTACCGCTCCGGCGACGCGCTCGCCGGGCACGTCGACGACGCCGAGCGCGACCTCGCGAAGGCGCGTTCTCCTTCACACTGGTTCCCATACGACCCCGTCGGCGTGGTGAACGCCGTTTCTTAAGGACTTTCGCCGTCGTCTCTCTCCGCCCAGGGTCCCTCGCGTTCAATCCCCAACCTCAACGCCTTTCAACTCCGCTTCTGACGCCTATGAACTCCACCCCGACGTTCGCTTCGTATGGAACGACCTCGCCGACCTCGCGAAGCCGATCGTGTCCCTCTCTCTCGGGTGCGCCGCGATCTTTCTCCTCGGCGGCGAGACGCGGGAGACGGCGCCGACGGCGGTGCTGCTTCGGTCAGGCGACGCGGTGGTGCTCGCCGGGGAGAGCCGGCGGAGGTACCACGGCGTGCCGAGGATATTCGCGCGCGCGGAGGGGACGCGTGACGGCGCGGGGGTGGAAATTTTGGGCGCGCCGCGGGAGGTGTCGGATCCGGCGTGCTGGCCGGAGGAGCCGCTCGTGGCGCGGTGGGCGGCGGAGACGCGCGTGAACGTCTCCGTGCGGGACATCGCGTGACGGAGCGCGTTGGGACGCGCGCGCGGTAGTCGAGGACGCGGCGTCGCGATAGTTTAGTAGAGCATCTGAAGGAGATACTGTTAGACTGTAGAGCTAGACGAGTCACGAAACCGACGAAACGAAACACGTCAGCGTCATCACAACACGGCGCGATCGCGCGGCGCCGGGCGCGATGGGCGGTCCCGCCGCGCCGCTCGCGCTCGCGTCGTCGCTCCCGCTCCGCTCGAAAACGGCGTTCACCACGCGTGCGGGGTCGCATGGGAAGCGTTCTCATCAGTCTCGCGGAACCCTCCTCGTCCGCGCCGCGGGCGCCTTCACGAAGCTCATCGAGATCCCCGTCGCGCGCGGCGTCGCCAGGGCGCTCATGGTCCCCGCGCGCCGATTCATGGACGGCGCGGACGCGGCCGGGACCGTCCTCGACGCGATCGACGTCCGCGTCCCGGACGCGGACGCGCGCCTCCCGCTCGAGCTCGCGCCTCTGATCCCGCTGAGCGGCTACGACGTCGGCGAGGTGCCGTTCGTGATGCAAGCTGTGATGTACTACCGCGACACGCTCGACGTCGGCGTCCTCGAGCGCGCGCTGCGCGACGCGCTCGCGGCGTACCCGCTCCTCGCCGGGCGCTTGGACCTCTCCGACGTCGACGCGTCGAGGAAAGGGGTGCGGCTCACGAACGACGGCGTGCCGCTGCGGGTGGTGCGATCGGAGCTCAACTTTGACGCGCTCCCGGGCGATTTCGCCGCCGAATCTAGGGCGTTTCTGGACTACGAGCCGTGGATCGACGTCATGCTCGGCGGCGCGCCGGTGTTCACCGCCAAGGTGACGCAGCTTCGGAACGGTGGAAGCGCGCTGGGGGTGTGCATGTCGCACGCGGTGAGCGACGGGCAGGGGTTCGTGGAGTTTCTCGTGGCGTGGAGTTTACGCGCCGCGGGGAGAGCGCACCCGCTCGGGGACCCGGTGTTCGACCGCGCGCTGCTGCCCGCGCTGGACCGCGACATCACGCGCGATGAGGTGCTCGACATGCTCGCGGAGGAGAAGTGGGAGAGCAGAGACCCGGTGATGATGCTCGGGAAAGCCGTCGTCGCCGGTCGGACGCTCGTGCCGGACTTTCTGCGTTTTCCACCCGGCAACCGCGTCATGATCCCGGTGCGCACACTGGTTCCCATACGACCCCGTCAGCGTGGTGAACGCCGATCCTTAAGGACTTTGCCCGGCGTGTCTCTCCGCCCAGGGTCCCTCGCTTTCAATCCCCGCCCTCGACGTCTTTCAACTCCGCTTCTGACGCCTTTCAACTCCACCCCGACAGGTGCGACGCGCCGAGCTGGACGCCATCCGCGCCGCCGCGGGCGGCGACGGCGTCACCGCGAACGAGGCCCTGTCCGCGCACGCGTGGCTCCAGCTGTCGCAGATCGTCGGCGCGGACGGCGGCGCGGCGATCGGCGACGTGCTCGAGCACGTCACCGTGGTGTCCGGTCGCGGGGGCAAACGCGGTCTGCCGGAGATGTACTTCGGGAACGCGTCCGTGGGGGTGAAGACGGGCGCGCTCGAGGTGGGCGCGTTCGCGTCGGACGACCTCGCCGGCGTGAGGGACGCGCTGCGGCCGGGGCTGCGGCGGGCGCTGATGCGGAGAGAGAAGTTTCTGAAGCTCACGGAGGCGACGTTTCGCGCCGGCGTCTCCGCGTACGATTTCGACATCGACGCGTTCATGCGCGGGCGGTGCGTGTGGTGCAACAACCTGACGACCATCTACCTCAAGCTCTACGAGCTCGACTTCGGGACGGGGCGCCCGGAGCTCGCGCTGCCGCCGGAGTTGAACGACATCGTGCAGATCCAGTGCTCGCGGCCGAAGAGAGGGACGCGCGAGGCGGGAGAGGACGGCGTCGAGATGTTCGTGAACTTGCCGCCAAACGTCATGGAGAAGATCAGAGCGCCGGAGGCGATGGCGAAGCTCGCGGGGATAGGCTGCTACTGATGAGGAGACGAGGGCGTGTGGGAGGGAAAAATAACTACTAGTGAGGTATAAACTTCCATCACTGTACGATCGATGATAAAACAAACAAAAGGCGTCAACCCGGGGCGTCCTCGTCGAACAGCCACCTGTTGTTCTGCTTGAACATCTTCTTCTTCACGTCCGCCTTCCTCTGCTTCAGACGCTCCACCTCCTCCCGCGTGAGCTTCGTGTTTTTCGCCTTCTCCCTCCGCCGCTTCATCGCGCACATGGCCGCCTCGAGCTGGTTCACGTCCATGTGATGATCCAGCGGCGTCCCCGCGTAGACGCTCCGGCCCGGCCCTCTCCCGAACACCGTGCTCGGTCCCGCGGTGAGGTGCCCGGTGAGCTTGTTGTACGTCGCCTTGGACTCGTACCCGTCCCCGGCCCAGTCGCCGTCGATCCCGAGCGAAACCGCGTGACGCTGGGCCTGCATCTTGTCCAGCAGCGCTCGCGCCATGTCCGCCGGGTCGACGCCGCCGGACAGGACCGCGTCGCGCTGCGACGCGGGGAGGTTCGCGATCAGCGCGGCGGCCATCTGTCGAGATGACTGGTCGGCGGGCGCGGAGAGCCCCGGGGGTTCGGCGGACGCCGGCGCCTCCGCGACCGCCGCCGTTCCCGCCGCGCCCGCCGCGCCGCCGTCGCCCGCGAGGCTCGCGCGCATGGACAACACCGTCGATATCGCCGCCTCCGCCTGCGTCGCCGTCGCGCGCGGCGGCAGGCGCACGTCCAGCGCGGCGGCGCGGGAGACCAGCTCGTCGTCCCCGAGAACCGCCGCGAGCGTCGTCGTCGTCGTCGTCGTCGTTGTCGCGCGATTCGCCTCCCCTCCCTCGCCGCCGACGACGCGGAGCTCCATCGGCAGCGCCGCGCGCCACGCCCGCAGCTGCGACGTCGCGAACGGGCCCTGCCACTGACCCGAGTCGTCCTCGTAGTGCCACGTCCGCGCGTCGCGCGCGTCGGCGGTCGTCTGATCCGCCGCGACCGCGACGGCGGAGGCGGCGGCGTACCCGCCGACGACGTCCACGCCGCGCTCCGCCGCGGCGATGCCCTCCATCGCCGCCCTCGCCCACTCCGACGTCGTCGTCGTCTCCGCGCCGATAGTGCCGCCGCCCTCTTCTTCTTCTTCTCCTCCGAGCGTCCCTCGCGTCGCCGTCGCCGCGTTCGTCGCCTCCGTCTCCGAGAGCGCGTCTCGCCGCGCGCGCCTCTCCGCCCACACCCCCGCGGTGCCCTCGAAGCGCGCGCCGGTCGGCATCGGTCGCCCCGCCCTCTCCGCGTCGCGCCTTAATCGCGCGTCCTGCAGCGCCCAGAGCTGCGTCTGCATCGCGTTCGCGGCGACGGCGGCGCGCTGCCGCAGCGTCAGTTTCTTCCCAGTCGTCGCGTCCGTCGCCGCAGCGTCGCCGGCGGCGTCGTCCCTCGCCGTCGCCGCCGCCGCCGCGCTCCTCGCGACGACGCCGGCTTCGGCGTCCGCGTCCGCGTCCGCGTCGTCCTCGCCGCCGCCGCCGAAAGGCACGTCGCCGCCGCCGTCAAGCCCCACGGTCGTCGCCGCGACCGCGGCGGCCATCTGCTGCCGGATGTACTTCGCGTACGCCTCCTTCGCGGCGAGCATCGGGTCCTTCGCCGGCTCGGGCTCGGGCTCGGGCTCGGGCTCGGGCTCCGGCTCGCCTCTCGCCGCGCGCATGTACTTCTCGAAGGCTGCCTTCGCGGCCGCCATGGGGTCGGTCGCGACGCGCTTCGCCTCTTCCTTCTTCTCTCTCTCCTTGACCTTCGCCGCCGCGTTCGCGTCGAGCTCGATGGGGACGCCGCGCGGCCGTTCCCACGTCGTCTCGCGCGTGAGCGTGTGATGGTAGTAAAACGTCCCGGACTCGTCGTGCCAGGCTTGGATCCAGTCCCCGCCGGGGCGCAGCCACTTCGCGCGCGCCTCGAAGTCGGCGTCGTCGGCCGCGTCGTCGTCGCGGTCGTCGTGGAACCCGCGCTCGGACGCGGGGAGCTCCGCGGGTGGGAGCGCCTTCACGTCGTCGTCGTCGTCGTCGTCCGCGGCGCCCCCCTCGCGGCTCGATCCTCGAACCGCGCCGTTCGCCTCCGGGTGCGACATCCCCATCGCCGCCGCCGCCGCCGCGCCGCCTTTGCTCGCGGGCACCGTCGCGAGCGCCTCCTCGATCTCCCACCGCTCCCCCCAGTTGCACTCAGGCCGCGGCTCGTGCCCCGGGAGTTGGCTCTCGGCGAAGATCCCCGCGACGCGACGCGCGGCGTTCGCCTTCGCGTCTTCGATCGCGGCGGCCATGCGCTCCTCCGGGGTGAGGCCGTCGTCGTCCGCCTTTGTCGCCCTGCGCGCGGCGCCCGCGGTGCCGGGGCGTTGCCACCCCATGACGGAGAGACGAAGGCGGGCGGCGGCCGCGCCAGATCCCGCCGTGTCCCCGCGCTTCGAATTATGAAACCATGCGATCCCGTGGACGCGACGAGAGCCGCGCGCGATCCGAGGAAGTCCGCCACTGTCACGCCGCCGCCGCCGCGCGCCGCCGCCAACGCGGCGACGGACGCCGTGAATCGATGTCGCGGTTCGTGTACGGCTCGCTGATGTCCCCGGAGGTGCTGAGCTCGCTCCTCGGGCGCGTCCCGCCGCGACGCCCCGCGACGCTGCGCGGATACCGCCGCTTCGCCATCGTCGACCGCGTCTACCCCGCCGTGCTCGCGGACGAGACGACGATTAACGACGTCGTCGACGGCGAGGTCCTGCACGGGATGACGCGACGCGAGCTCGCGGTGCTGGACTGGTTCGAGGACGAGGCGTACGTGCTAACGCGCGTGGACGTGACGTTCGCGGACGGCGGACGCGCGGGAGGAGGAGGAGGAGGAGGAGGAGGACCGGGACCGGGACGAGGCGACGACGCGTTCGCCGCGGCGCTGAACGCGCTGAGCGACGAGGACGCGTACTCGGACGAGCGCGTCGTCCAGGCGTACGTGTACACGAGCGACAAGCGGCACGAGCTGCGCGGGGACTGGGACTACGACGCGTTCCGCGCGGAGCACCTCGAGGCGTACGTGCGGATGTGCGACGAGTTCAGGGAAGACATCGAGGACAACGACCTCCCGGGGGACGACTCGTCGTGCGAAGGCACAGACGACGACGCGTGACGCGAAGCGAAGCGAGCGGCGTGAATCGAAATATTGTAGTTAGTACCCGGACTTAATTCACGAAATCGTCGTCGTCGTCGTCGTCGCGTCGGCGGCGCGGCGCCCTCGGTCATCACTTTCGGCACCCGCGGCCTCGCGCGTCGTCGTCCTCGTCCCCCGTCGTCCCCTCCCGCGTTTTCCGCACCCTCGGCGGCGTCGTGAACGAAAACGCCCGCCTCGCGCCGAAAGTGACGCACCCCGCCCCCTCCCCGCCGCCCTCGCCCCCGCCATCGCCGCCGCCGACGCTCACGCCCAACGTCGCGAACCGAAGCTCGAGCTTCGCGGCGACGCCCATCTCTCCGGGGCTCCCCCGGGGCTCGCGCAACATCACCTCGACGCGGCTCGCGGTGCGACTCACCGCGGGCTTGTTCGGGACGTCCGGGTCGCCCTCGCGCACCCTCGGGGTCGCAGCGCTCACGGCTGATGAGACGTCCATCATCTCCGCGTCCTGGTGCGCGGGTCTCCGCGTCGGAACCGCGTCGGAAACGGGGGAAGGGATGATCGCCGCCGCGGAAGCCGCCGCCGCCGGCTGCGGTCCCGCCGCGCGCGTGAACCTCGTCGAATTGTTGGTGTTGTTGATCCCGAAACTCTCCCTCGCGGCTCTTCGCTGCGTCGCGCGGTGCATCCGCGCGATCTCCTCCTCCATGCGCTTCTGCTTCCCCGGGCTGTTCATCGCGATGTGCATCCCGCGCGCGGCTTTGTACGGGGACCGACTCGGAGGAGTCGCCTTCGTCGCCGTCGCCGCCTTTCCATCGCAGCACGTCAGCACCGAGTCCGGGGACACGCCGTCTTCCTCCTCCTCCTCCGAGTCGTAATCGTCGTCGTCGTGAAGACGCCCGAACGGCGGCGGCAGCGGCCGCGACGCGCGTCGTTTCTGCGGCGGCGGCGGCGGGACGTTCGCCGGCGCCGCGCGGCCGCCGCCGCGCCGTCGTCCTCTCGCGCCGCCGTCGTCGTCGTCGTCGTCGTCCGAGCACTCCTGTTCGTCGCGGCGGCGCATGACGAGCTCATCGAACAGCTGGCGTTTCGTCGGCGACGACGCCGCGTCGTCGTTCATTTTCGCGTCCTCGTCGATCGACCGTAAGGGACCCCCCGCGGCGTGCGCTCCGGCGCCCTCGCCCGCGGCGGCTCTCGGCTGCGCGCCTCGCCTCGGCGCTCGACCGTCGTGCGTCGGTATCCGCGCCGCGACGACGCGCCCCGCGCTCGGCGGCATCGCCGCCGCGAAGGCCGCGTCGGCGGGCATCGGCGTGTGCCACTGCGCGTGCCAGTCCGCGTTCGCGCTCCCGCCGACGCCGTGCGGCGGCGGCGGGCCCATCGCGAACGCCTTCGAATGATGTCGTTGATGATGGTGAAACGACCGCGGTTGCGGCGTCACCGCGAGTCGGCCGCACGCGGGCGTCGCGAACACGGACGGCGTCCGCATCGACGTCGCGCTCGGGGTCTCGCGCGTCGTCCCGCGCGGCGCGGGCGTCGCCATGCACTCGTCCTTCGCCGTGAACGGCGTGAACGGCGACTGTTGCATCGTCGCGGATCTGCGTCGCGCGCCCGCCGCGCGCGCTTAACCTTAACGGCTTTCTTCTCGGCGCGTTCAAAGGATCGACGCTCCCGCCGCGACAGGCGGCGCGACCCCGGCGACGCGCGACGCGGTCTCGACGCGCGCGCGTGCCGCGAACGATCGCGCGCGACGGCGACGGGATCGCCTCGCGAGCGTCGAGCGTCGAGCGTCGAGCGTCGAGCGTGCGCCGCTCCGGCGCCGCGCGGTCAATCACTGCACCCGAGGACGAGAGCGGTGACGCGCAACGGGAAACGCTCGCTTCTGACTACCAGAGCGCGCCACGCGCCACCGCCCTGTTTGTTCTCCGCCGGCGGCTCGTCGCCGCCCTCTCCCTCCGCGGACGCGTCCACAACCTCGCGCGGTCGTCCGCGTCGTCGGTGACTCGCGCTCGCTCACGCGCGCGAACACACGCGGTCGTCGGTACCGGCGAACTTCCGTCCGCGAGCGCGCGATCGCGGCGGCGGGGAGGGCTCGAGACAGCCTCCGCGCGTTCATTATTGTCCGAGAGCTAAAAAGTCGCCGTCTCCGCGCGTCGAGACTCCGCTCGCCATGGGCTACGTCGTCGGCGACGACGGGCTCTCCGTGCAGGACGCGGAGACGCTCGACGCGAGCACGCTGACGCCGCTCTCCCCGGAGGTCATCTCGCGCCAGGCGACGATCAACATCGGTGCGTCCCCGCGATCGCTCGCCTCGCCTCGAACGACCGATCGATCGCGCGCGAAGAGGGTCTTAGGGTTAAAGAGCCGATCATCATCGTTCGTCGTTCGATCCGTCGCGCGACGCGCGCTTCTTCTCTCCCTCCACCGCGCCAGGCTCCCCGCTGACGGACGCGCGCCATCGCTCCCCCACGCCCCACCCACCCTCCGCCCTGATCGATCGCAGGCACGATCGGGCACGTCGCGCACGGCAAGTCCACGGTCGTCAAAGCCATCTCAGGCGTGCAGACGGTCCGCTTCAAGAACGAGCTCGAGCGCAACATCACGATCAAGCTAGGGTACGCTAACGCCAAGATCTACAAGTGCGAGGACGACCTCTGCCCTCGCCCCGCGTGCTACCGCGCGTACGGCAGCACGTGCCCGGACGCGCCCGACTGTTTGGTCCCCGGTTTCGAGGACAAGAAGATGAAGCTCGTGCGGCACGTCTCCTTCGTGGACTGCCCGGGGCACGATATCCTCATGGCGACGATGCTCAACGGCGCCGCGGTGATGGACGGCGCGCTGTTGCTCGTCGCGGGGAACGAGTCGTGCCCGCAGCCGCAGACGTCGGAGCACCTCGCCGCGGTGGAGATCATGCGGTTGGAGCACATCATCATCCTTCAGAACAAGATCGACCTGGTGCAGGAGAACGCGGCGGCGAACCAGTACGACGCCATCTGTAAATTCATCCAAGGCACCATCGCGGACGGCGCGCCCGTCATCCCCATCTCCGCGCAGCTCAAGTACAACATCGACGTCGTGTGCGAGTACATCTGCAAGAAGATCCCGGTGCCGAAGCGCGACTTCACGTCCCCGGCGAACATGATCGTGATCCGGTCGTTCGACGTGAACAAGCCGGGCGCGGAGGTGGACGACGTGCAGGGCGGCGTCGCGGGCGGGTCGATCCTCCAGGGCGTCCTCAAGGTTGGCCAGGAGATCGAAGTCCGCCCGGGGATCGTGTCCAAGGACGCGGAGGGGAAGATCAAGTGCCGGAGCATCTCTTCGCGGATCGTCTCGCTGTTCGCGGAGCAGAACCAGCTGCGGTACGCCGTGCCCGGAGGCCTCATCGGCGTCGGCACGACGGTGGACCCCACGCTGACGCGCGCGGATCGCCTCGTCGGGCAAGTCCTCGGCGAGGTCGGGAAGCTCCCGCAGGTGTTCACGGAGCTGGAGGTGAACTTCTTCCTCCTTCGGCGGCTGCTCGGCGTGCGGACGCAAGGGAGCGAGAAGCAAGGGAAGGTTGCGAAGCTCTCCAAGGCGGAGGTGCTCATGCTGAACATCGGGTCGATGTGCACGGGCGCGCGCGTCGTCGCGGTGAAGAGCGATCTCGCGAAGCTGCAGCTCACGTCGCCGGTGTGCACGAAGGAGGGCGAGAAGGTGGCGCTGTCGAGGCGGGTGGAGAAGCACTGGCGGTTGATCGGGTGGGGTCAGATCCAGGCGGGGATCCAGCTCGGGGATTGACTCTGACTCGACGGTCAAGCATCGAGCGCGAGTCGAGAGGGGGAGAGAGAGAGAGAGAGCGCGACGCGGTGGTCGACGTTGTGACGATAACCGAAGGCGTCCTCTGTTTATTTTGTGCGCTCGAGCGTCGGCGTCGTGACGCTCGTTCTCGCGTTCGAGCGTCGAGCTCGCGTTCGCGCGTCGCCGCCGCCGCCGCCGCCGCCGCCGCCGTACGTTTTATCCACGCGCGTCATTTTATCCTCGTGTGCCAACGAGTTTAGTGCCAACAATTCTCGCCGCCGGCACTTCCGCGGCACTTTCGGCGGCGCCGCGAGCGAGCGAGGGAGAGAACGCGCGCGCGCGAGCCGCGGAGGTTTCGTAATAAGGTACGAGCTCTCGCCTCGAGCGCGCGCGCGGTCGGAAGCGCGACGCCGACGACGCACCGCGCGCGAATCGTCGAAGCGAGCGACCCTCTGCCGATTCCGCGAGCGCGAGCCGCGTCACCGCTCGCCGCAGCGTTCGGCGAGCCGCGGACGGCGACTCGCCGTGGCATTGGCGGCGATGTCGCTCGAGTTGACGCAGATGATGTCTAGCAAGGGCGGCGGGACCTCAGAGTCCGACGGCGACGCGGAAAACGCGGGTTCGAACGCCAACGCGAACGCGCCTGCTCCGCATCCCTCGCAATTCGCGCACAATGCGCACGGCGACGCGCCGGCGTTGACGACGCCGACTTCGCCGACGCCGAAGCGCGCGCGGTCCGCGACCGCGCCGAACCCGACGCACGCGGGCGCGAAAAATTTCATCGCGCGGCTGCGAGAGTCCGAGAGCGAGGACGCGACGAGGGCGGCGGCGACGAACGCCGCGGGTGCCAAGGAGGTCTCGCCGCCTCCGTCGCGCGACGACGGCGCCGACGCGTTGACAAACGTCGGCGTGGAGCACGAGAACCGTCTGGACGCGTTCGAAGAAGACGCGATTCACGCCCTGAGCGGGCTGTGTAACACGCAAGACGACGTCACGGAGAACGGCGTGGGCGGCGGCGGCGCGGGCGGCGGCGGCGGTGGCGGCGGAAGCAGAGCGAAGAACACCCCGGCGTCGCCGCAGTCGAAGCGTTCGAAGAAACCGAATCCGTCGTCGACGCCGCGCGCGAAGAACGGCGCCGGCGCCGCCGCGAAATCGGGCTCGGTATCCGCCTCGGACGGCGGCGTCGGCGGCGGCGGTGCGGGCGCGCCCTTTCTGGGAGGGACCGGGCCGTCGAACTCGAGGAAAGCCGCGGACCATCGACGCCTTCTGAAGAGCTACATGAAGGCTCTGTTTCGTCACCTTAAGCTCCCCGCGGATCTGAAACCAGCCGGGGACGCGAGCTACCGCGACCGCATCAACGCCGCGCTGATGTTCTGGTTCGGGGACACGTTCGCGCCCGGGAAGGCGACGAGGGAGTGCAACGCGCTGAAGGTCATGGCGAGCATCGTGTACCTCGCGACGAAAGGGAGGGTGAACGTCGACGCGGACGCCGTGTCGGGCGTGCTGAGGAAAGGCCTCAATTCGAAAAACGCAAACTACACCGTGGACGAGCCGTCGTTGAAGCGTCTGAAGGTGACGACCGCGGAGCTCCGAGCGCTGTTCGAGGGTCCGAGCAGGGTGGACGAGCTCGGGTTCCCGTGCGGGCTTCCTCTGCGGCTGCCGGACGACGACGAGAAGCGACCGCGCGCGGCGACGACGAACGCGCGGCGGGCGGCGGCGGGTTCGGACGCGCCGGCGTCCGAAGCCGTCGTCGTCGTCCGAGGCGCGCGGTCGAAGCGCGAGCGCGGGAGCGTCGGCGGCAACGGCGTCGACGCGAACGGGGCATGGAAACACGCTTCCATCGCCGCCACGAACGGCACGTCGCTCGCGGCGCGCGAGGAGAAGGAGCCGCCTCTTTCGGCGGCGCCGACGACGAACGGAAAGACGCCGACTCTCGCGGCGAAGACGACGGCGGCCGATTCCGCCGCCGACGCGCCCGCGGACGACGTGAACGCCGCCGACGACCTCGGGTCGCCGCTCTTCTCCCCGACGGGGACGGTCGCCGCCGCGTTCGCGGCCGCGGCGTTGGCGCCGAAGCGCGAGGACCGACGCGCGGAGACGCGGGCGTTCATCGACGGCGCGATGGCGAGCGTCCTCGCGGAGATTTCCGCGCACGCGGTGGACGTGCAGCTGGAGATGCTGAACAGCGCGCAGCGAGAGCTGATGAATTACGCGCAGAGGCTCGCGAAGGAGCAACAGGAGCTCGCGGCGAAGGAGAAGGAGAAGAGCGTCGCGGGAGGGGGGCCCGCGAAGAGGAAGAGAGGTGGAGGGGAGGGGGACGACGCGTGACGAGGAGGAAGACGCGGACTTCGTCGCGGCGTCCCCGACGACAAGATTTTCTTTCGCGTATTATTATGTCCGCCGCGGAGGGACCGTCGCGACGCGACGCGTTCTTCCGCCGCTCGAACCGCGCGCGCCGTTAGACGGCGCGGTGCTTGACGCACCGCTCACGCACACGTGATGCACACGCCGGTTTAATGTAAACGGAGGCGTTCACTCGTCGTCGCCGCTCCCGCGCACATCGATCGACAAACTGGCAAGAGATGTGCACAGACTGGTGCCACTGCGCGCAGCCCGCCGCCGCCGCATTTCACTCAACGCGCCGACATTTCTCCGAGACGCCCCACTCGCCGCCGCGCTCTCGCCAGAGCGCGACCGCAGCCGACCGCGCGTCGAACGCCGCCCCACGCGCGCGTCGTCGTCGTCGTCGTCGTCGTCGTCGCGCAAGCCCCCCCCGCGGGAGGGATGAGCTTCCTCGCCGCGCTCAAGGTGGCCGCGCCCGACGACGACCGCGACGCGTCGGACGCGACCGCGCCGACGTCCAGACCGCGCGCGACCAAGGCGGTCGTCGACGCGAACGCGCTCATCAAGGGCCTCAAGCTGGAGCGCCTCGCCGAGGAGGCGATCACGATCCCGGAGGTGCTGAGCGAGATCAAGGACGCGCAGGCGCGGCGCGCGCTCGCGACGCTGCCGTTCGACCTCGTCGTCCGCGACCCGGACGAGGAATCGATCAAGGTGGTTCGCAGATTCGCGCGCATGACGGGCGATCTCGGCGCGCTGTCCGAGCCGGACGTGAAGGTCATCGCGCTCGCGTACGCGCTCGAGCGCGAAACGCACGGCGTCGCGCACCTGCGCGCGGAGCCGCCGCCGGTGACGCTCTCGAAGCGGACGCACGACTCGCGCGCGAAGAAGCCGGGCTGGGACTTCGTGCCCGACGAGGACGAATGGGCGGAGCTCGACGCGTTGAACGCGGAGGCGGAGCGCGCCGCGGACGAGGTCGCCGGGCGGATGGCGTCCGCGACGATGGACGACGACGCGCTGAAGCGCGCGGAGGCGGCGAGGGACGTGCCGATGAGCGCCGCGGAGCGCAGGAGGGCGGACGAGAGAGCCGCCGTCGCGGCGGCGTCCGAAGCCGCGAAGAAGGCGGCGGCGGCGGCGGACGGCGGCGGCGGCGGCGAGGAAGGCGAGGAAGGCGACGACGGCGACGACGGCGACGGGTGGGAGCAGAACGTGTGCCGGACGACGCGCATTCGGCGGATGAAGCGCGAGGCGCGGAGGAGAGAGGCGGAGGAGGAGGCGGCGAGGGAGGCGGCGCTGGACGCCGCCGCGGGGGTGTCGACGGTCGACGGCGGCGACGGCGGCGACGGCGGCGACGGCGAATCTGCGGACGACGGCGACGACGGCGAATCTGCGGACGACGGCGACGACTGCGAATCCGCGGACGCGCGCGCGGACGAGGCCGCGGCGTTCTTCGCGTCGAACCCGGAGGCGGTCCCCGAGGGCGCGGAGGACGAGGACGACGAGGACGAAGAAGAGGACGAAGAGGACGCCGACGGCGCGTCGACGACGATCGAGTCCACCGTCTCGTGCGTCACCGCGGACTACGCGATGCAAAACGTCATCCTCCAGATGAACCTCAAGCTCCTCACCCCGGACGGGATGCGCATCACGTCGCTCAGGCGGTGGGTGCTTCGGTGCCACGCGTGCGGGGAGGTGACGCGTCAGACGACGCGCGTGTTTTGCCCCAAGTGCGGCAACGCGAGCCTTCAAAAAGTCGAACACACCGTGTCCTCCGACGGCGTCGAACAGTTTGGCGTCCGACGCAAGCACGTCCTGAAGGGCACGCGGTACTCGCTCCCCGCGCCCAAGGGCGGGCGGACGACGAAGCAGCCCATCTTGAGGGAGGATCAGCTCATCGGGATGCGGGCGAAGAGGGACAAGGCGATGGACGACGTCTTCGCGTGCGAGTTCAACGAAGAGAGCTTCGCGGGGAAGTCGCGGGGGTCGGGGAACGGGCGGGACGCCGCGCATCTGTACCGCCAACGCGAGCTCTTGGAGGTGGCGTCGGGGGGGAACCTGAAGAAGAACCCGAACGAGCGGAGGTTCGTGCGGACGAACCGACGGAGGAAGTGACGCGACGGACGCGGCGGGCGTTCTAGGATTGAATTTTTCGGTATCACACGTCACGACTACAAAGGTACAACAAACACGACGCCCGTCCCCAGTCTCGTCACTCTCCCTCGAGACTTTGCGACGGATCGGTCTCGATCGGGACGCCGTACGCGAACTTCCCCTTCTCCGTCCCCGGCTGCTTCGGCGGCGACTCCGTGTCGTATATGCTCACCACGTGATGCACGCTCGTGTACGGCCGCCCTCGTCCGCTCGCGTGGTTGATGTGCGCGTGCGCGGGGGGCTGGTACACGCGTCGGCTCCACGGCGCCTTTCTCGCGCTGAGCTTCTTGTGCCGCGCCTTGAGCTCGTCCAGCGTGATCTTGCCAGCCAGGTCGTTCTTCTCCATCCACTCGCGGTAAAACGCGGTGTTCTCCATGCTCTCTTCGACGTCGCGCGTCCACATCCGTCGGTCGTCCTCGGGCTTCACGGGGAGGTACCCGGTCGGGGTGGGGAAACAGAACTCCGCGTCGTCGTCGGCGTCCGTCGCGTCAGCGGGTTCCTCCTTCTTCTCTTCCTCCTCCTCTATTAGTTTCTTCTCCTGCTCTTCCTCCGCGGTCTTCGAAGCTGCGGGCGGCTCGGCCGCCGCCGCCGCGTCTTCGTCTTTCGCTCCCCCCGTCAACTCCCCCCCCACCTCCGCCGCCGCCTTCTCCGCGACGACCTCCGCCTTCTTCTTCTTCGCCTCCGCCTCCTCCTCCGCCTCCGCCTCCTCCTCCGCGGGCGCGACGACGTCCCCCCCCGACGGCGGCGCCGTCGATAACCACGAGCTCTCGTCGTGTAACCGCCATCGATCCGATCCGAACCGCCCGACGTGCCGCCCGTCGTCCGTCCACACGCTCACGACCGCGTCCTGACCGCACGTCACGAAGAACCCGCGCGTCTCTCCCGGGGCGCCGCCCGCGGGGGCGCGGAAAAACTGGCACGCGCTCACGCACGCGCCGACGGCGTGCGCTTGCCAGTACCCCACGCACATCGCGTCGTCGCGGCCCATGACTCGGCGGTTCCCGACGTGCTTGTTCGGGGAGCCGGCGTCTTGTCCGAACGCGTCGAACGTCTCCGCGAGCGCGGCGCGCGTGATGCGGGAGAAGTCCCACAGTTTGACGCGGCCGACGGCGTCGCCGGTGACGACTTTTTCGCCATCGGCGTCCGCCGCGATGGTCATCACGCTCTCGCCGTCGCGGTGGCCCGCGTGGAAGTCCGCGACGAGCCTCCCCTCGGAGACGTTCCAGACGCGCGCGTGCCCGTCCGCGTACGACGCGGCGACGACCGCGGGCGTGGCTTTATCCTTCGGGAGGTCGCGGCCGAGGAAGACGACGGACTCCGCGGCGCGATCCGACGCCGGCGCGTACGACGCCGCCGCCGCCGAATGAAAAGACGCCGCGTGGCCGTCGTCGAGTTTCTTCGGCAGCGGCGGCGCCGGCAGCTTATGCCGCAGCGCGCCGTTCTCCACGTTCCATATCAACAAATCGCCGCGCGAATCTCCGGTCGCCATGACGTCCGGCGGCGCCGCGGCGACGCACAGCACGTCCGCGTCCCCGTGCGCCTTTTCGCCGCGCATCCGCCGCCGCGGGTTCACCCGCACCCGCGCGTCGTCGTCCCAGAACGTCACCGCGTGGTCCCACCCGACCGCGGCGACGCGCTTGAACGCGAAGGCGTCGTCGCCCTCGCCCATGTGCGCGAGATCCGTGACCTCCGCGGCGCCGTCGCCGGGGACGCAGAGTTTCACCCTGTGGCCGTTGGACGGATTCCAGACCGACACCACGCCGTCGCTCGCGCCGACGCACACGCGCCGCCCGGCCGCGTCGTACGTAATCGCGGTCAGCCTCGCGTCGGCGTCGCCTCCCACCGCGTGCGCGTCCGTGAACCGGTACTCGATCTCGCCGTCGGTGAAGTCCCAGACGCAGACGCAACCGCCGGAGTCGGCGCTCGCGATTTGGGTGAACCCGGGGGAAGGGTTCACGGACACCGCCACCGCCGGGCGGTTGTGGCCCACGCTCGCCGCGCGGTCGATGACCGTGAGCTTCCACAGCTTCGGGGATATCGACGCGGTCAGCAAACGCGAGGTGCCGTGGTCGAAACCGAGCGCGCCGATCGCGTTGACTGGGAAGTACGACGTCTTGTCCTCGAACGACTGCACGCACGCGCGCGACTTGAAATCCCACACCCGCACGTTTTTCTCCACGTCCAGCGATATGATCTGCGACTCGCTCTCGACGAGCATCAGGTGCGAGATGGACGCGCCGTGGCCGTACAACACGTCCACGGGCTTGGACGTCAGCGGGTTCCACAGCAAGATGGTCTTGTCCACGGACGCGGTGAGAAGCAGTTTAAACCTCGGCGACCACGCGACGGCGTTGACGCCCCCCTTGTGCCCTTGCAACGTCCTCGTCCGCGCGCCCAACGCGTTCGGGTCCACGTCCACGAGCTTCACGGTCCTGTCCAGCGACCCGCTGACGATGACATCGTCCTCTTTCACGTACTGCACGGACGTCACCCAGTCGTCGTGGAGCTTCCGCGTCCACTTGTTTTCGAACCGGACTTTGTACTCTGACTGCGCCTTCTCCCCGTCCGTCATGTCTATCGCCTGCAACACGTGCACGTACCCGCCGTCGTCGCCCACGGCGATCCAGTCCATGTCCTTGTGCCCCGGCGCGATCTTCGCGCCGCCGCGCCAGGACGTCATGCACAGCGGCGCGTACTGAAACGTGCTCAGCTGCCCGCAGACTTTCCAGCCCTTGTCGAGAATTTTCACCTTGCGGTCGTGCGACGCCACCGCGAGCCTCCCGCTCGTGTCCAGATGACACCCCGCGGTCAGATACGCGCGCGACCTCAGGTCCACCTTCCTAACGTACTTCACCCCGCCGTCGCTCGAGAGCTGCCACAGGCGCACGGTGCCGTCGTGCGACGTCGTCGCGTACGTGTCTCTCAGCGATGTCATCTTGGTGAGGGACGTCACCACGTCTCGGTGCTTCGCCTCCGGGTCGGATTGCCCCGCGACGCCAACGCGCTGCTCCTTCTCCGGGAGGTACTTCCGCACCGCGTCGAGCGCGCGGAGCTCGCGCGCCGCCTGCCCTTCGAGGAGGACGTACGTCGAGAACTCGTCCCAGTCCACGGCGCCGTCCGCGTTGGCGTCGACGCGGTTGAAGAGCTGACGCAATCGCGCGTCGTTCCCCGACGACTCGCTGCCGTCGCCGAGCGCGGCGGCGAACGCGGCGACGAACTCGTCCTCGTCGAGCGAGCCGCCGCCGTCGAGATCCGCGGACTCGAACGTGGCGCGGAGGGTTTCGAACACGTCGAGGGTGATCTCGTCGTGCAGCGCGGCGCCCAGCGCGACGGACGCGAGGTCGAGAGACTTGGCGCTCGACGCGCGCGCTGGCGGGGCCTCGTCGTCGTCGCGACCGAATCGCGCGGCGGACGGGGAGCTCGCGGCAGCCATCTCGTCGCCGTCATGACCGCCGCCCGCGCCCGCGGCGGCGCGTCCCGCGGCCATGACGACCGCGCGCTTCTGGATGTACGCCGCGCGCCGTGCGAGTGAGAATCCGATTTCTCGGATTCGCCGCTTCTTTTGGCATCACGCCGCGCCGTCGTCAAACTTTCTCGGAAGCTCTTGAGGTGACGACGGAGGAGGCGAGAGAGGGTCGCGTTTTACGACTGAAAACAAAACGAAACGAAACGTTCAGAGTTCGTGCATAACCCGAGGCGGCGCTCTTATTCAAATCATCATCGCTACGCGCACGCCGTCCCGCGCGATGACCCGATCCCTCGCCCGCCGCCGCGGCTCCGAATCAATCTTTCTCTCTCCACACTTCCTCCGCGCTAATAAAAGTTTCCACCCACGTCCCGCCGCGACCGACGCCGCGATCGATATCCACCGATCGCGCCGCGGCCGCGACGACGCGAACGCGCCGCCGCTCCATCGCGGGTCCCGACGCGAATCGCGCGACACACAAGTCGACGGACGACGACTTACTTGCGGGAGACCTTGTCGAACGTGGAGACGCCGACGACGGCGACGCCGATGGCCGCGAGGACGATCCCACCCGCGACGACGCTGAGGAGCGTGTTCTTGAGCGACGGCGTGATGGCCGCCTCCGCGACGAGCGGGTTCGCGAGGGCCGCGGCCGTGCCGACGGTGACCGCCGCGGTGAGCTTCTCGGTCTTGAGGCTGCGGAGGAAAGGAAGAGAGGAGGTCGTCAGAGCGACGTCGAACGAATCGCAGCGAGCGAGCGAGAAAAACCGCGTGCGAACGAACGCCAGCTGTGCGATGGATCTCGACGGCGGCAGCCGGGATCGATCGTCGCGGATCGATCGGTGCGCGACGCGACGCGTCGCGGTCGCGATCGACGCGCGATCGCGCGACGCGACGTGTCGCGTCGCCCGCGACGCGATGCCGCGCG